CTCTCATGTGGTCGGTGTAGCAAATAAGTAATATTTGGATATATAGATATATATTTCGAGAGAATTAAACATGTCAAAGTTAGGTAAGCACGGTCAGATAATACATTCTCAGACCCGAGAAGTGACATACAATGTTATTAAGTACATAGTGAAAGAATACATATACAAAACATGATACGTACATCTAAGACACATAAAAGGTAGCAATGCCACCGGTTTACTCTCTTCACTGAGGCGCATCCGAGCAGAAGGTATCGATCGTGATAATTGGGAGGGTAGTTTCGTTAGCCCAAGCAAGTCACGAAATCGTCCTGTGATTAAATTCCAACGCGATGATTTCAACCAGTTCACAATTCGCCGGTTGTGCAAAACTCATATGTGGTGCGAAAACAACTGCCAACTCTTGACAGTATCCATGAGATGGTCAAAACAGATCTCAATTATGCGGGTTCTTGAGAATGTTTACAGTTAGCTCTGAAGCAAATGGGGTTTAGATGGTGCAAAACGCAGTCAAATCGCTAGCTATTGATGGAAAGGAAAGATACAGTTGCAAACCAAATGCAATACTTACAAACAATTAAAAAATACCGAGCTGAAAAACTCCCAATCATCTTTATTGATGAAACGTGGGTACATGTGCACCACACTGTCCCATGTCACTGGATGGATATAGGTGGGGTTCGACCACCGTCTGGATCTGGACCATGGCTGTTAGAAGTGCATGCAGGTTCTGAGAACGGATTTGTGTCAAATGCACTGCAAATATTTGACGCTAAACGGCAGATTATCGTGATGAGATGAATTCTGAGAATTTCTCAAAATGGTTGAGTGAAAAATTGATACCCAATATTCCACCCAACTCTGTTATTGTTATGGACAACGCTCCATACCATAGCAAGCAAGTTGACAAGTGCCCAACAACCGCCAACAGGAAGGGTGACATCAAAGCTTGGCTAAAAAGGCATGATATTGCGTTCAACGACAAAATGCTCAAAGCCGAACGGTTGTTTCTTGCCAGATCTAAAAAAGCCTGTCCTGTATATCGCGTAGATACCATGCTGAAGCAACATGGGCATGTCGTTCTGCGGTTACCTCCATACCATGCAGATTTTAACCCAATTGAATTGATTTGGGCCAATGTCAAGAATTATGTTGCCAGGCAAAACTTGCAGGTCACAAAGACATCGCCTCGGGCACAATGTGAAGAGAGAATGTCAGCACTCGGCTCCAAGGAATGGTCAGGATACTGTAAGCATGTCCAAGCTATTGAAGATGGGTACTGGCAATGAGAAATCGCAGTTGAAGCAGAAATGGAAAACATCATTGTCGAACCTGGTCTTATGATTGAATCAGATAGCGAATCAGAATGTGACAATTAGTGTTGTTATATCCCACTGCCAGTATTATGTTTACAGTGCACGGACACACGATAAACATTTACAAGATATTATTAAGGGATTGCTACATAGGTCCTATGACACCTTGGCATTACTTTCAGTTATTTCAAGCATAGTAACCTATGAGCCAACCATTCATGGTTATGAGAGACTGCAACAAATGCACCTGTCACTGTCGAACTCGGTGTTTCCTGAAACAGGCCACACGCTTCACCCATCACACTACACTTGATCGCGGACAACCTGGGGCCCAGTTCGCTAACAATGGCAAGCACCAGTGGGCGGCACTCATACATGCTAATACGGGTCAATTGTCAGGTCTGTGCTCATCTTGTCCTTGTTTCCCAGTAGTGGGTGCTTTCTCCAGCATGGAACAGGTCATATGTGGTAAGTCAGGTTATTGAAACAGCAAGAAACAGTACATATTAAAATGTAAAACTGCATTTTGTTGTCATGGGTACTGACTACAATGGAGATAACTTGCAGTTGAAAGTATAATTGCTTCTATGTTTCTGCTGTTTTGTCAATCAGTTGTGTATGAAAGTCTGTGTATATCTTAACTTAAACCATAGAGATAATCACAAAATCACATATTTTTTAACCTAATATACCAGTAAAGAAAGGAAAGATTTATGGATGTTAACTTCTTTATTGTGAATAACATGACATTTCGGAGAGTGTATGCTTGCTCCTTCATATATGCATTCCACATCTAAATGCCCTTCAAAGATTTAATATACCAGTACTAAGAAAAAATATTGCAATACGTTTGAAAAACATACCATTATACCGTTAAAGGGGCACTGATCCAGAGCAATTCCCCCGGGACTTGTTGTTGCTTTTGTTATTGTTTTTCCCCCAAGACTACCCAGATGATATCCTAGAATTCTTGACTGGGTTGCGATCACTGCTGCGTCACAATTCGTAGTATAAGTATGATATATATATATATCCTTACATTGATCAACAAAGATGAAATCTTTGTATTGATTAATATTTCCATTTTCATTATTATGATAACAAATGAACACAATTTTGAAGTTTAACTTCATATGCCAGTGATACAAAATGTTAGGACTGAAAAAACACACACCTGAAGTCAATGTCCGTCTTTATATTTGTGTCTTATAATCCTAATAAATTCATTATAATATTTTTATGCATTTTGGAACTTCATAAGAAGTACATGATCTGTTTTTAGTGAATTTATGAAATGACTGTAATATCTACACATTTCATAGATTGCCAACATGAATCATATTTCACACACACGCCCTAAGTGCTACATAGTGTATGTTGTCTGTCTCATCGAACTTCACGGCAAAAAAAATAATGAAGTGGAATGATTCTGCTGACTCTACAACAAATGAATAAAAATACCAATATTAAGATTAAAACCAACTATAGCTATTGCAATAATAGTAGGCTATTACTTTGTTCGAGAATTGTATCCATCAATATCCACATAAAGGAACCATATGCCATTCATCTGCAGCTGACAAAGAAACCTGTTCCATGTCATGTCATTTAACAGTCTAATATGCAAAAAATGTATAACGTTATAACTATCCAGTATAGGTTAATAAATCTACTACCTTTTGACCAATCCGCTGTGCAAGATAAAAGTAAGTAATCAATGAGCGTGTTATCGGTTAATCCTTTGATCAATGTTTGTTTTTTTAAATCAGCTGATAATTCTTTTGCTGCACTTCCATGCGCATATTACATGAAACATAATACATTTGCCACATCAGACCTTAATTCATAATGTTGAGTATTTACCCCAGACACAAGAAATGCTAAATGGGGACCTTCATTGGGTAATCTGAGTTGTGTTAACACTAATTATACCTACCGGTATTATAAATTGGTCAGCTGCCCATCGAGTGAATGATCACAAATAAACAGGTGTAGATTTATACCACCAAACATGGGTTACAGCAAGGGAGTAGTAATCAGGGTGTCCCCCTACTAGTGAGACACTTGAAAAATCCAATTACATGGTTGAGTGAACAAATTTGGGAAGGCTGTTACCCATTGGGGTTAATGGACTAATCCAACTGTTACCCCATTAGTCAGACATAAGGAGACAATTGAGATTTTTGAGACCATGATTACACAATGCCATTTTTTAGACCAGTTTTATTATCTTTTATAGCATCTTTTGTAATTTTCACAATAATTGTTACTTTTTCACAATATCACATGCATATAAATAAAATTGTCACATTCTCTAGCACTACTGGCACAGTATGGACTTCCAAACAGCACCCAAATACTGCATTGGAGTCTTGCTCCAACTGCTCTCTTAATCGACCAAGTTGGAGGTTGATCTCCCTGTAAACCTTCTTGCGTGGCAGAGGAGCTGCACCGAAGTCAATCTGGGTGATCTTCAAATCGTCTGCCTTCTGAATTTTCTTGAGAATCTCGATCAGTCTGAAGACATTCGGGTGACGACTTGACAGGCTGGCATTCAGACGGCTGTTAATCCCTCAAGGCAGTTGTTGGTCCTCGGTCTCATGATGATTCCACAAGGACAGCCTAAACAGAGAGTCATCATCCACCCACGTAGTGACCATGTAGTCGTTGAAGGTAACCATCCATCCACATACCATCCAGTTGAAGGGTCAGTGGCAGTCTTGGGATTGTGTGACTTCTGTGTATGTACAGCACGCTGTCAAGACTGGAGTAGGAGGGCAGGTGTACAGCATCGTCTTCATTGTACTTCAGTAGTTCGTCTTGGTAGACTGCTGGCATAGACATCATGGGTTCTTCTCAGGCACACTTTCTCATCGAGCTGATGAAGTCGATTCTTGTTGTGTTAATAGGCGGTGGATGGTTGTGTTCAGTGGAATTTCTTACGAAGTCTCCAACTGTTGCGCACTTCATGGTACATGCACACAAGTCGTCCTCGTCTTGTTCTTGTGGTATACATGGCGATCAAAGAGCACCTGAATCGTGCCTCTCTGCGATGTCATGAACTCTACTTTCTGCAAACCTGCCATTATTGTGCAGTACAGACGCTTTTGGAAACTAATAAACATTGTCAAGTAAAAACATTAGACCTGCATTGAGAAGTCAGTCTCAAGTTGCTTTTTAATTTTTTATTGGTTTACTCACAATAATAATTAAGCCACACTATCAACTATGCACAAGAAGACTCTTAATACTATGTGAGTAGATCAATTAAAAGGGATTAAACTTTAACAGTCAAGGTTGACAGTCAAGTTTGATCTTATTGTGCAAGAGATAAGACAATTAGATAAGGCTTATTATGTCCTTATTATCCAAAGCAAACACTGTGTTATGCTAGTCACTTGATTCTAAAGAACAGGGGATATACTAATTAGGACTGATCTATTGTAACTGTAGGGGTGAGCCTTCTCCACCCTCACTTAAGTGTCTGACAATTGGGGTGTCTGACTAATGGGGAAATAAGATAAATTGGATCATTCATCATACCATCCACGCATCAGAAAATCCGAAAAAGCCTACACTGCTTGGATACAATCAGACAAGAACTACCAGGGATATTTTCAAATAACAGCAAATTCTGCCAAGGTGGACAGTAGCTAGCAGCAGATGATATGGATATTTACATACCTGTAAGGGCGAGCAGCCAGCAGTAACAATAAGTAGAGGCCAGAAACTGACAGCAGGACAATAGATTGTCGAAGGGGACTGTTGGAAAAAGACACAGAACATCAATAAAACGTTCAGTACATTCATACTGTCCTTCACAAAACTAGTATAAGGAGAAAGTTTGTCAGAGGTGGATATGTCACACTGGTGTTGTTGTAAAGGAGAGGGTTTGTCAGACTGCTGGTGTTGTGAAGGAGAGGGTTTGTCAGACTGCTAGTGTTGTGAAGGAGAGGGTTTGTCAGACTGCTAGTGTTATGAAGGAGAGGGTTTGTCAGAGATGGGTATGTCAGACTGCTGGTGTTGTGTAGGAGAGGGTTTGTCAGAGATGGGTATGACAGACTGCTGGTGTTGAGAGGGTGAAGGAGAGGGTTTGTATGACAGACTGCTGTTGGTGTTGTGAAGGAGAGGGTTTGTCAGAGATGGAGATATATATGACAGACCGCTGGTGTTGTGAAGGAGAGGGTTTGTCAGAGATGGGTATGACATACTGCTGGTGTTGTGAAGGAGAGGGTTTGTCAGACTGCTGGTGTTGTGAAGGAGAGGGTTTGTCAGAGATGGTGTTGTGACATACTGCTGGTGTTGTGAAGGAGAGGGTTTGTCAGAGATGGGTATGACATACTGCTGGTGTTGTGAAGGAGAGGGTTTGTCAGAGATGGGTATGACATACTGCTGGTGTTGTGAAGGAGAGGGTTTGTCAGAGATGGGTATGACATACTGCTGGTGTTGTGAAGGAGAGGGTTTGTCAGAGATGGGTATGACATACTGCTGGTGTTGTGAGGGTTTGTCAAGGACATACCGCTGGTGAGGAGTTTGTCAGAGATGGGTATGACATACTGCTGGTGTTGTGAAGGAGAGAGGGTTTGTCAGAGATGGGTATGACATACTGCTGGTGTTGTGAGAGGAGAGGGTTTGTCAGAGATGGGTATGACATACTGCTGGTGTTGTGAAGGAGAGGGTTTGTCAGAGATGGGTATGACATACTGCTGGTGTTGTGAAGGAGAGGGTTTGTCAGAGATGGGTATGACATACTGCTGGTGTTGTGAAGGAGAGGGTTTGTCAGAGATGGGTATGACATACTGCGGTGGTGTTGTGAAGGAGAGGGTTTGTCAAGAGATGGGTATGGGTATACTGCTGGTGTTGTGAAGGAGAGGGTTTGTCAGAGATGGGTATGACATACTGCTGGTGTTGTGAAGGAGAGGGTTTGTCAGAGATGGGTATGACATACTGCTGGTGTTGTGAAGGAGAGGGTTTGTCAGAGATGGGTATGACATACTGCTGGTGTTGTGAAGGAGAGAGGGTTTGTCAGAGATGGGTATGACAGAGGGTGTTGTGAAGGAGAGGGTGTCAGAGATGGGTATGACATACTGCTGGTGTTGTGAAGGAGAGGGTTTGTCAGACTGCTGGTGTTGTCAAGGAGATGGGTATGACATACTGCTGGTGTTGTGAAGGAGAGGGTTTGTCAGAGATGGGTATGACATACTGCTGGTGTTGTGAAGGAGAGGGTTTGTCAGAGATGGGTATGACATACTGCTGGTGTTGTGAAGGAGAGGGTTTGTCAGAGATGGGTATGACATACTGCTGGTGTTGTGAAGGAGAGGGTTTGTCAGAGATGGGTATGACATACTGCTGGTGTTGTGAAGGAGAGGGGTTTGTCAGAGATGGGTATGACATACTGCTGGTGTTATGAAGGAGAGAGGGTTTGTCAGAGATGGGTATGACATACTGCTGGTGTTGTGAAGGAGAGGGTTTGTCAGAGATGGGTATGACATACTGCTGGTGTTGTGAAGGAGAGGGTTTGTCAGAGATGGGTATGACATACTGCTGGTGTTGTGAAGGAGAGGGTTTGTCAGAGATGGGTATGACATACTGCTGGTGTTGTGAAGGAGAGGGTTTGTCAGAGATGGGTATGACATACTGCTGGTGTTGTGAAGGAGAGGGTTTGTCAGAGATGGGTATGACATACTGCTGGTGTTGTGAAGGAGGGGTTTGTCAGAGAGGGTTTGTCATACTGATGGTGTATGACAGAGGGTACTGTCTGGTGACAGACTGCTGGTGTTGTGAAGGAGAGGGTTTGTCAGAGATGGGTATGACATACTGCTGGTGTTGTGAAGGAGAGGGTTTGTCAGAGATGGGTATGACAGACTGCTGACACACTCTCAACACAGTTCAGCTGTATATGTGTTACTGGTACTTACTCAGTTAGCATAGTGTTGGTGACTGCAATGCTGACTACCTTTCTCACCATCACCAGAGAGTCCCAGAAACAGCAGCGATTGTTGTATGACTCATACACAAATCTGCAAAATGATAATTATTCTCACCAAATAACTATCTATTAACTGATGTAAAAGTCTCATTTTCAATAGGGAAATGATTCATTCATCAATACAGTTTGCCTGTTGTTGAACTATTGCTTAGTGATTCAATTCTTCTTTGCAATTAGAAACCAAGTGATTATTTAACTTAGTTTGATTGTGACTTTGTGTGCTGGCGATTAGATGCCTCACTCTGAGAGGTTACATTTGAACACTTTCTAAAAAGGTACAGACAACTGAGTATTGATGGTAATGGACATAAATTAGGTTGAAAATACACTGTATGGTTTCACCCTGTCACAAAGTTGAAGTAAATTAAGACTTTATCTTATCCATGTTGCGTTTATTAAAATAATGATCACTTAACACTTCAATTAATTTCAAAAGGTAACTGCAAACATGAGTTACCCATATCTCGCTGACTTGCAGTCCAGGAGCCCCCATTTCCTTTGTCGAAGTGTGAAGAATATGAGCAGGAGAGGCAGCAGTACGATGTACACCAACATAAACAGCGTCAACACAAAGTTGAGGGTCTGTTCACATAGAAACAAAACCTGCTGTAACTGGAAAAGTGTCTGAAACGCATGCACTGCAATATTATAATACACTTCCTTGAAATTTGTACAAGCTGCAATCAAAACAAACATTTTTACTAATAAAACTCAGTAACTCATCAATCAGGACACTTTTTAGGATTTATACCCGGACTGTCAACAACAAATAATCCATCGAAATTACTCGTCGACAGTGCGGAGAAAGGGAGATGATGTTCCACATGAGTGACTTCACGCCCAGTGTTATCGAAATTAACAAACAAATTAAAACAGAGTGCAATATATATAGTAGACAACATATTTATTTAGTCAATATAACAACATGTATCATATGTCACACAACATAACATATTTGTATATATATTTCATAAATCTCACACAATATATATTACATAAGTCAAATAGATATGTAACATTTGAGATTGTAATGATTCATATAGTCCAAGATGAAGCAACTCTGACACATGGTCTGTGCAGTTCAAGTCAGCAAGTCAGTTTGCAAGAAGGTCGGCCTTCAAGGATCGAATCTTAGCATCGATGATTCGGTAGCGACGTCTACGGACGGGATCTCTCTGCTGTCCTTGGATCTGCTGAATTTTAACTTCAGTAGCTGACTGTTCTTTTTGCAGCATTGGCACAACCTCAAACACATTCAGATGTGTCTTCATGGCATACTTGTTGATTTTGTTGTGCCTACCCTCCAAATTATTGTTAGTTCTGTGTCCATCATTTCAAAATGATTCCAAGTGGGTAGAGTCCATGGACCTTCTATCCAGGTGGTAGTAACCCAATGGCATCAAGCCAGACATCTTCAACTTTATCCAGTGGCACTAAAGGTAGAGCTGCAGCTCGACGCACTAGTCTTTTCACATTGGTGTCTGACTTGTACTCTGAAGCAAGGCCTACTTTCTGTGAGCAACGCCAGATGCACTGGGTGTAATGAAAGAACCACCCACGAAGCTGAGTATTTGGAAATACAACACTGGCGGAATTGTGAGATGCACATTCAAAGTCCAACTGAATCAGGAGAAACCTGAAGTCCTCCAGTCTGTTTCCAGGCGTGTAGCAAGCCAATTTTTTCGTGTAAACCCGATAGGTTACACCTAAAAGCCTGCAGAACGACTACAAAATGAAGTAATGTATAAGTTTTCGTTGAAGGGAGTTTGTAAATACCTGCATTTCAGTTATGATTCACATATAATCATGACTTAAACAAAATATTAACATACATGTCGATGGAAAAACAATCATTACTGAAAGAAAGACACCTTTCATACTTATGATATGATGAATAACGTTTTCTGTACATGCATGTATTGGTAATGCTTTGTTATCAAAGAATATTCAAAATGAGTAGTACTCAAAATGATCCATGGATGCATTTCCACTATAAAATTGTTCTGATAACGTATTTGTAGGTATTTTTGGCAAGAATTAGAAAATATTTTTTAAGCAAACATCATGTGTAAGCCCAGGCTTTTTCTATAATGGTAGCTACGCCCCTGGATTCAGATAGTCAAACACGCTTGTGTAGAACATAGATATTTTTTCTGGGTTACATCTTTTTATTCTCGAGTACAATGTTTCAGGGCTTGTTCTGGCCCCATCATCAGGTAAAACTGTTGTACTCTGAAACGTTGTACTCGAGAATAAAAAGATGTAACCCCCCAAAAATATCTTTGTTCATCAAATATCATCTTCTAAATGCCAATCAAGCATTTAATATGCTTGTGTAGGTCGCTTCTGTTCGGTTTGGCAAGAGTCCATACATCAGGGGTTTCATGTGTCCTTGGTATTCAGCATTGATCGAGTAAATCTGGTCAAACAGTTGAGGTGAAGACGAGAATGTACCATCTGCAAAGATGACATCTGCTGCAGAGAGAAGATTTTTGCTGGTGAAGAAGAGCAAAATGTTGCCATCATATAGTCGGTGAAGAAAGTCATCTCCTGCTTCAGTCGTTGTCCACTCATTCTCTAGATTGATGTCTGCAAGGGTCTGTGGGAGCTTAGGGACGGTCTTATGTCTTTGTCGATACATGCTGGTTCACGGAGTCAAAGACAGGAATGTGTTGGAGAAGGGCGTCCGGTGCAGCTGCTGGATCCTTTCTCAAGTTGCTGAGATCTTCATGGTAGATCTGGGGGGATAGGCGTAGTGTTGTCAGTCTTTGCAAGATGATGAAGCTTTGACTTGAACGCATCAACTTCAGTAAGAAACAGAACAGCAGGATGGTTGAGACCTTGACTATATTCAGCAGGCTGTTTTCTATAACCAGATACAATGGACAGGTGGCATCTGTACATCTCCAGCATGTTTTCTGAGCTCTGCGTCTGTTGACTCTGTACTTGAATCCATTGTGGTAAAGATTCTGACCTCCAGATTGTGTGACTGCTGCTGTTCGTGTTGTAATATGTGTGTAATGGATATAGTATGTATTTATTGTAATTCCAGCGTCCATAATGCAAGACAAATTCCCTTCTTGGGCAATAAAGTATTATTATTATTATTAAATGTTTTCAACAGCATTTCGATAATCCTTCTACTCCCAATATCACAAAATAATTTATAAGCTCTCTGTTTCTTTCCGGGTTTTTTTTGCATGTTAAACTCCAAAATGGTAATCCTTCCACTCGCATAACGTAAAATAATAGTCTGTTTGCAACCTTAATTCTCATACAAATTGTTAAAAAGACATTCTCCTTAATTAACTTAATTCATTTACTCATGAAACGAGCATAGCCACCTGCAAATCCCCAAGCAAACATTCTCTTTACTTAATTAACACCATCACGGTATGTTGACCATGCGATGTCAACACTCCGGTTTTTATTCTGTCGATGGTTAGCAATATCATATTTTTCATTTGTCAACAGATCGGGCTACCATTTTCAGGACAAAATTCAAGAATTGTCAGAAATATACCATAAGCTGTTTCCTAGCTTATACCACCTAACCTTGACCTTTATAGGATCACCAAAATGTCAGTGTCTCAAAAAAAGGACAAGAAGCTATTTATTCATTAACCTGTGCTGTGCCGTCTCCATCCGTTCTCGAACACCTGGCTGTCCCTTTCTCTGCATCCCTCCCTCGTAACAAATAGTGAACTGTGTCAATATTTTAATGATAGATTGTTAAACAACTTTTTTATTTTCAGGACAAAAATTATGCAAAAAGCTTGTTCTGGGTGATGAAACATATTTTGCAAATATAATGTACAGGTTTAGATAGTGATGAGTATACTTGGTGTAATTAGTTTTAGCTTGGGGTGAGGGGCCTTCGCTTGAGCGAGAAATTGTTATGTAACTAGTGGTACAGCTTGGGGTTTGATGAATTCAGCTTTGGTCAGTTAATTGAATGTGGCCAGCCAGTTTATAGGGAGAAGCTCGGTGATTCTGATCTAGCTGGGATGTTTCTTGAGGACGGGATTTTTGCCAGTTGTGGTTGTACCCATGATGTGAATTCACAAACTTGCACCCACGTCGGGACTGTGTCAAATATGGAAACTAAGAAATCATGGTGTACAGTTTTGGAAGGTGACTATGCCATATTGCTTTGCCCATAATATATCTAAGACAATTCCCTCTTCACTTTCCACATTTGTAAATTGGTATTTTGCATCAGCCTTCTGTTAGGATAGTATAAATAAATCTTCCTGAAGTAGTCAGATTGTTGTGTGATCCATTTTCATTGTGCGAGTGAACTGGTGTCATATACCCCTTTATCACACCTTCACTCGTAACACTCTGATATCAATGCCCAAACCTGTACAATTTCATTTTCAGATCTACTAGCAATCATTTTCTGTCAATAATGTTTTAGCTATATGAACACAAGTGAAACCTACAAATGTGAAATGATGAAGAGTTAAAGGTTTTGGAACTTGTACCTGCAACTGTCAACAATTTGTGTCACAAGACATGATACCTAATCATGATTGCATGAGTGTAGCAGAGGGACGATGCCGAATAGAACTAATATTCCTGAAGTGGAAGTGACCTTTTCAACTTATATGATCTTCCATGGTTAGGGGCTAGAGGTGTGACGATACAGAAATTTCACGATACGATACGTATTGCGATATCTTGGAACGATACGATTCGATTCGTTGCTTATCACGATATGCTATCTTTAGTTATTTTCTTTCAAAATGTATATTTTGGTAGCAAGTAACAGTGTAAATTTTGCAATAACCGCCAATTTCTGGTGAAAATTAATAATTTTAAGGTCAACGATACATATCACGATATGAAAAAAAGTATCGATATATGTATCGTCGGATAAAGTATCACGATTATCGATACTACGATATATCATCACAGCTCTATTAGGGGCAAGTACATTAGAATGTGAGATTAGAATGGATTCCTGACCAACTGTAAGACTTCTGATGCCACCTATCTTTAGTCTGAGAGAAGTAAAAAATTACTGTGACCTCAGCTACAGCCATCATATATAGATCTCAACTGAAAATGAACAAGATCACTCCAAAAATATACAGATTCATGGGAAATTCCAACTAAGCCAGACTTCTATTAATTTTAAACTTCTTCCAAGATGACTGGTGATAAAATTAAAGCTAAAGCTTTTCTAAAGGAGACATGATTTTACTAACATAATTCCTGTCAACTTAACAGAAATTGTTTGTATCCAATTCACCCTCATTGATCCGCTGAGCCCTTGACCTCACCAGTAATCCTTCTAGTTTTGTTATTCATATATCTTGTAATTCTTGTCTCTTCTCATCTAACTGTTTTCTTCTGTTTTGTTGCTTTCTAAACAATCTATTTCATTCAATAAATCATTCTCCTTCTCCTTAAACTGTTCATTATAAGATGAATAGGAGAATTGTCCCTCTGATCTCCATCACTGGTTGTAAAGATGACTATGGCAGGAGATACAGAGTCATTGCTATAGACTGGTCTTACTGTTTAGTAATATCACATACTAACATTTTTACTCCAATACTTTATTTGGTGTTTCTAAACAATGAATGATTAAATTCTCAATATGAAACCAATATCTAACCACAGATCAGACCTGTAACCTGGCATAATATTTGAATTACTGTGACAATACAGATTTTCAGATAAAAAAACAACAATCTAGACTTGCTTGCTTCACAGGGATTTTTCTCTCTTCCATTTATACATGCACAAGTCAGGTTTGTGATCACACCAAATTTAGATCATCAGATTTAATTATACCAGTAATACAAGATATGTTACCGAAATCTTGCAAAACAATTTTGTAAAATTCAGGTTTGTAAGAATTTGGTCCAGTATGTCTTTTCCAAAAGCAGTAACATCTATAAGTAAAGAGAAACCACTATCATCTCTGTATGTCATGTTATTTATATTTAAAGTTACTATCAAGTAAAATTGCTACACCCTGAGACTGACAGGTACGACATTTAAAAACACAATGGTATCCAAAGTCAGATCTCAGTAAAAGCTCATTTTCAGAAATAAAATTTGCATCTTGTAACAGATTCAGAGAATATACCTCTCAGACTGAAGAAAAAAAAAGAGGAAAACATGGAAGTGCAGCAAGAGGAATTATCAGCTGAGTTTCAAAACAAACATCGATCAAAGGATTAACCGATAACACGCTGATTGATTAATTGCTTTTATCCTGCACAGCGGATTTGTCAAAAGGTAGTGTTTATGTATGTAGATTCACTAATCTATACTGAATACACCCTGTTGTAAAGTTTCTTTGTAAAAACAATGTCCTTCCTTCAAAGGATTAACCGCCAAAACCTTGATTGGTAGCTCATTATTGGCTAACTAATGGCGGACATCATGCAATTTGCTTGCCAGGTGTGCTATCTTGGGTGACCAATGGGATACACCAATGTGAAAAACCTGAAACGATAGATCACTTTTTCGCATATTAGACCGTTAAAATAAGACACATGACATGGAACAGGATTCTTTGTCAGCTGCAGATGAATGGCATCTCATTACTTTATGTGGATATTGATGGATACATTCCCCTAACAAGGTAATAGCCTGATATTGTTGCTATAACTATTAGTTTTAATTTTAATATTTGCATTTTGTTTTAATCTATTTGTTATGGCATTCAACAAAATCCTTTTTTTGCCTTGAAAGGTAATGAGACAGACAACATCACAGGATGAAAAAATAACAAAAGCAACAACCAGTCCATGGAAATTGCTCTGCATCTGTGGCCCTTTAAGTATCCAAAGAGTACATTAAAATTGTAAATTGTTATTATTCAATAAACTGACTATTTACTTGTCTATAGTGTCTATATAGGACTTCACCCGATCCATCACAGTCAATATGAACTGATACAATTATTCAAACAATCTGAATAGAAACAATTTTATAGTTGATAATAATAATTATTATTTGCTGGTGTGAAACAACCTCTAAATGGGGTGAAACTGTGCTGGGGTGAACTTGTTTGGGATGGAGTAACCCGTTACCCTTCAGACTTTGCTTAAAATCATGTAAACATCAACACAGAAAGATTCTTATCTCCAGAGAAATCCCTACAGGTATGCCTGTTTTGGGAAATTGATGGGACTCTGGATACCATTTTGTTTATTTTCCTTCTGTACAAAAATCAAAGTAACAGATACTTACAACAGTGGCCTTTGTCTCATTTTAATGCTATGAGTTTGTATCAGTTTGGTACAGGGGCGGTGGGGTGGGGTATTCGCGTTATGGCGACTTTTTAGTTTCAGGTATTCGCGTTAAGGCGACTGGCGGTAGTCTTTGATGTTTGGTGTTGTTTTAGTAATGTTTGTTTAAGGGATTAGCGAAAGGATTATCGACTTACCTAGTCGAAATTGCAGTGGTGCACACATTTTAAATCATCAATGTTTTTGGTGAAAAGTGAACTTTTTTCACGTTTAGTTAAATAACTATGTGTCATCGTGAGCTTATATCAATTAACTAGTTAAGTAACTATGACAGCAAGACAATTAAAATTTCTTATAAAAGTTTCGAAGTTTACAATCACTATCATCATGGCGAATGCACAACTCAAGTACAAATATCTTCCCACTTGTAGAGATGGCAGATATCTGTGTTGGAAATTATATGTATCGTATTAGTAAGCGAAAAGCAAATGATGTTGATTATTGGAACCAACCCGAATATTTTCGAACTGATTCAATTCCTGATGAAGGAACATAAGACAACAGAAATGCATTTGGTTCAATACACCGTGGACAACGCCTCCCTCCTAAAAAAAAAAGAAGTATCAAGACCTTCAGCGAAAACTGGTTGACTTGAAGACCAGACTTGACACCGGGCACGTCTCTGTCATCGAGTATGCTGAAAGGGCATCGTACGCTCTGAAACTTGCTTAACGACTGTTTCATATGTGAAGATGCGTCACAACATGTGAATAAATTTGTTATTGTTTGTGAGAAAAAAGGCACAACGCGAATGAACCGGTGGGGTATCCTAGTGGTTAAAAGCGTTGGCTTGTCACGCTGAAGACCCGGGGTTCGATTCCCCACATGGGTACAATGTGTGAAGTCCATTTCTGGTGTTCCCCGCCGTGATATTGCTGGAATATTGCTAAAAGCTGCGTAAAACCATACTCACTCACTCACTAGTTTGGTACATACATCATGTGTTATGAGTTGTTACCTTGACTGTATCTTATAAAACTCACTTGTACATGGGCCTGTAACCTTGATACAGTAAGGAACTGAATAGTTGTAGAAGTTTCTTTATAATGTGCTACATGACAGACACTACATCCACCTAACTAATATCATACCAAAGAACACAGGAATCAGCATGACACAGGCAGCATTTCAATACAAGTTAGGGATGTTACCAGTAGAATACTTATGGAAATATATATTGTGATATTTATATTGTGGAAACTATTAAATATCAGTTTATAACCTTTATTTCATTTCAGGCTAGTTTTGCAGATTATTGGGTGTGAGTGTAGTTTTACCACAGCACCAGAAAGTTACAACATGCTTTGTATATGTGGAGAATTTCACCCTCCTGTAGATTCATGAAGTTTACAGATTTTCCATACAGATTGTCACAACCCGAATCTCCCAAATCCCTCCTACAAACTTTCATGTTCTGGAAGGTGTAAGGAAACATTTCATCTAAATGTTTCCAAGTGTTTGATTAATGATCAAAACAGTGTGTATATTTATAGTTGTGGTGATGATGATAATCAAATCAGATCTTTGGGGGAGGGGGGCTTTTTTTGTCCAACTACCGTTATATTTGTTCTGTGGTTTGAATTTAGGGAAGAACACCCAACCATGCCCACAGACAACAGACAAGCAGGCCTTGACATGCACGATGACCATCAGAGGGTTTCTGGAGTGGGATAGTTTAGTATTCAAAGCTTGTCACAATGAAGGATGAAGTGCAATTCGCCACTGTAAAATCAAATCACTATGACGCTTTGACCTATTTTCAGGAAGTAATATTTCCTAAAGTCAATCCTTAGACAACCCAAATTATCTGCCCTATAACACTTCTAAGGTTATGTTGAACCATTGTAGATTTCAGGGAGTGAAAATTTTGCTTTAAGATATTAGAAGTAAATTAGCAATTAGTAAATTAACTATTGGCAGAAACAGAAGATACAGGTGTGCTTTAAAGAAACACTCATAAGAAAGATGCTTACGTACCTCGTTCTTGAAACTCGGGGAAAGAGAATACAGTCAAAAAAAGCCTCAGTCCTCCATACAGCTTATATGACTTTGAAATTCAGTGTCAGTCAATCACACTCAAGGTGCCTTCTGATAGACGCATTCAATTTGTAGTAAACACAAAGATTAAGCATACACAACTATTTGATGGGACAGTATAAGCAGAAGTTAGGTTCAGGGTTAAATACATGAACTACCACATGGTGAGACCAACAATGAGCAGATACCTGGAACAGAAAGTCATCACAGGAGACTGTGTGGTCATACAGGAACACATTGTCTGGAAACAGGCCGGTGTCCAACACCATATTCTGCAACATATAAATCTGTATTCATTACAAAGGCTTACATATACTTCTGAAAATCCCTCCAAATATTCGGTTTTCCACAAATTCTATTTGGAGCTTCTCATACATTGTGACTGTCTACATGCCCTCGGGATTGCTTTACTGGAGACACAATGTACCAGAAGGGTCTAAATTGTATGGCTTGTATTGTTGTTTAACACTGCACACACAAAATCCCAACTTTCTGACAAGGGCCTATAAATAATCAAATCTGAACAAGACAATTGAGTGATTGATCTGCAATCTACACCAGGGTGGCACATTGCCATGATATCAATCAGGTCATCGAATTGACATAAGTATGCATGGAAAATAGAATAAGTTCTTAATTTATTCCTAAACAAATTTCCATTGTAACAACACTGTAATTCATGCATTCTAGACGTAGATATGTTAATTCCTGGTTATTCAATGATGCTTATGGACGAACCTTATTAAAAAGCAATCTTCATTCACACAACATACCTCCCAGTCCAAGTAATCACACTCTTCATTCACACAACATACCTCCCAGAACAAGTAATCACAATCTTCATTCACACAACATACATCCCATACCAAGTAATCACAATCTTCATTCACACAACATATCTCCCAGAACAAGTAATCACAATCTTCATTCACACAACACACCTCCCATACCAAGTAATCACAATCTTCATTCACACAACATAAATCTCTTCATTCACAGAACAGGACAGTAATCACAATCTTCATTCACACAACATACCTCCCATATCAAATAATCACAATCTTCATTCACACAACATATCTCCAAGACCAAGTAATCACAATCTTCATTCACACAACATATCTCCCAGACCAAATAATCACAATCTTCATTCACACAACACACCTCCCAGAACAAGTAATCACAATCTTCATTCACACAACACACCTCCCATACCAAGTAATCATAATCTTCATTCACACAACATATCTCCCAGAACAAGTAATCACAATCTTCATTCACACAACATACCTCCCAGACCAAATAATCACAATCTTCATTCACACAACATACCTCCAAGACCAAGTAATAATCTTCACAATCACATTCAACATATCTCCCAGACCAAATAATCACAATCTTCATTCACAAAACACACCTCCCAGACCAAATAATCACAATCATTCACACAACATCCTCCCAGACCAAATAATCACAATCTTCATTCACATAACATACCTCCCCCAGACCAAGTAATCACAATCTTCATTCACACAACACACCTCCCAGACCAAGTAATCACAATATTCATTCACACAACACACCAAGTCCCATACCAACACACCTCCCATACCAAGTAATCACAATCTTCATTCACACAACACACCTCCCATACCAAGTAATCACAATCTTCATTCACACAACAACCTCCCATACCAAGTAATCACATACCAAGTAATCACAATCTTCATTCACACAACACACCTCCCAGACCAAGCAATCACAATCTTCATTCACACAACATATCTCCCAGACCAAAAGATCACAATCTTCATTCACACAACACACCTCCCAGACCAAGTAATCACAATCTTCATTCACACAACATCTCCCAGACCAAATAATCACGATCTTCATTCACATAACATACCTCCCAGACCAAGTAATCACAATCTTCATTCACACAACATACCTCCCAGAACAAGTAATCACAATCTTCATTCACACAACATACCTCCCATATCAAGTAATCACAATCTTCATTCACACAACATACCTCCAAGACCAAGTAATCACAATCTTCATTCACACAACATATCTCCCAGACCAAATAATCACAATCTCCATTCACACAACACACCTCCCAGAACAAGTGATCCCAAACAATCTTCATAACATAACACCCAGGCCAAGTGATTCCTGAAATTTATTCTAGCATGAAGACAAGCCCTAATTTTCATTTGATTTTTTTATGGTGGAAAGTTGACACTTCAGATCTGTCTTTGTCTGACCGACCTGTCCAAATGTTTGTGTGCAGGAGAAACTCTGGATTGCGCTGAGGGCTACCGGTAGGTAGTAGGACAGCACGATGAGGAAGAGGAAGTTGCGTATCCCAGCACGGCGCCTCTCAACCACCACTCGCACAGGCTCACGCTTAGCAGCCTTTACCTTGTTGTCCTACACAAAAAAAGTGTAGTGTTAAGACAAAGGTGATCACTTCATTTTCATCTAGATTAATTCCAACATACAGCTTTCTTAGGTAATAAGGTCTATTCGTACTGTCTAGCTAGCTTCACCTTTTGACTTAGATACAGGCACCCAAATGAAGTGATGTGGTAAATGCAGTGATGTACAAAGCATTTTGTGTATGCATACAAATATAGCAAAAGTGTTGCAATTTGACTTTATGTCAGTCAGTACATATTCAGAGAGAATGATACTGTCCATTCTACAATTAACAACAATCTGTTTCAAAATGAATTTCTGGTACTAAACCTTGTGTAACATGTTACTGGCACCAAGAAGTATGAATCAATACTATATAATGTTAGGTTCTGCAACTCTGCAACAATATTATTCTTGTCAGTAACAACGAAAACATAATGTAAAATATAGAACAAATGTGTTAACAAGATTAAACTTACTAATGCCCGGTCCACGCAAATACCAAAAGAGACAATGACACTTGGGATAGCTATGGCAGTCCCCCATCTCAGGTAACTGGACCACTTCACACCTGGCAAAAGGCACTCTGAAATGGAGACCTTCATTTTCATGCATGGGTTAACACACTGAGCAAGAAATGGGAAGCTGTGCATGCTGTACATGTAATCAAAGACCTGTATTCAAGTAATACCAATACTGGTATCAAAGAAAATATGTTTTGGAAACGGCTAACATCTGTATAACACAAATCAAAACATTGAAGAGCACTTTTCCTTATACTGATTAATGAAACAAGGTACCTGTCATCACGATATCTGAGGTGAAGGTGGAGAAAGACAGAAGAGCAGCAAGATGAGACATAAATGATGGCCACTGTACTTTCACAAAGAAAGACAGGTAAACCAGTTGCACGAAGTTCATCAATATCTTCAGCTGCAAATAAAACCACAGTATTGTTCTGGATTGTCTTCTCAGGCCTACCCTAGACCATATACTTATGACGAGATACACAAAATATGGTGTGTGTGAGATTGAAATATTTGTAATATCAATTACACATTAAAACCTCATAGACCCCACAGAGCTGTAGATTTAGATCCATTTGTAGATATAGGTACCGCTTACCACACACAACTGTATTGTTAGTAGTAGATTTAGGTACTGCTTACCACACAGAACTGTATTGTTAGTAGTAGATTTAGGTACCGCTTACCACACAGAACTGTATTGTTAGTAGTAGATTTAGGTACCGCTTACCACACAGAACTGTATTGTTAGTAGTAGATTTAGGTACCGCTTACCACTGTATTGTTAGTAACTGTTATTGTTTGTAGTAGATATAGGTACCGCTTACCACACAGAACTGAATTGTTAGTAGTAGATTTAGGTACCGCTTACCACACACAACTGTATTGTTAGTAGTAGATTTAGGTACTGCTTACCACACAGAACTGTATTGTTAGTAGTAGATATAGGTACTGCTTACCACACAGAACTGAATTGTTAGTAGTAGATTTAGGTACCGCTTACCACACACAACTGTATTGTTAGTAGTAGATTTAGGTACTGCTTACCACACAGAACTGAATTGTTAGTAGTAGATTTAGGTACCGCTTACCACACAGAACTGTATTGTTAGTAGTAGATTTAGGTACCCCTTACCACACAGAACTGTATTGTTAGTAGTAGATTTAGGTACCGCTTACCACACAGAACTGTATTGTTAGTAGTAGATATAGGTACTGCTTACCACACAGAACTGAATTGTTAGTAGTAGATTTAGGTACCGCTTACCACACACAACTGTATTGTTAGTAGTAGATTTAGGTGCCGCTTACCACACACAACTGTATTTGTTAGTAGTAGGTTTTTAGGTACCACTACACACCACTGAACTGTATTGTTAGTAGTAGATTTAGGTGCCGCTTACCACCACACTGTACAACTGTATTGTTAGTAGTAGATTTAGGTACTGCTTACCACACAGAACTGAATTGTTAGTAGTAGATTTAGGTACCGCTTACCACACACAACTGTATTGTTAGTAGTAGATTTAGGTACTGCTTACCACACAGAACTGAATTGTTAGTAGTATTTAGGTACCGCTTTAGGTACCACACAGAAAGATATTGTTAGTAGTAGATTTAGGTACCCCTTACCACACAGAACTGTATTGTTAGTAGTAGATTTAGGTACCCCTTACCACACAGAAAGATATTGTTAGTAGTAGATTTAGGTACCCCTTACCACACAGAAGAATGTAACACGTATTGTTAGTAGTAGATTTAGGTACCGCTTACCACACAGAACTGAATTGTTAGTAGTAGATTTAGGTGCCGCTACCACACAGAAAAGATATTGTTAGTAGTAGATTTAGGTACCTTACCACACAACAACTGTATTGTTAGTAGTAGATTTAGGTACTGCTTACCACACAGAACTGAATTGTTAGTAGTAGATTTAGGTATTGCTACTTACCACACAGAAAGATATATTGTTAGTAGTAGATTTAGGTACCCCTTACCACACACAACTGTATTGTTAGTAGTAGATTTAGGTACTGCTTACCACACAGAACTGAATTGTTAGTAGTAGATTTAGGTACCGCTTACCACACAGAAAGATATTGTTAGTAGTAGATTTAGGTACCCCTTACCACACAGAACTGTATTGTTAGTAGTAGATTTAGGTACCGCTTACTACACAGAACTGCATTGTTAGTAGTAGATTTATATATATATTATATGGGTATTTATATAGCACTATAGTCCATCCCACATGCATGCTCAAAGCGCTTCTTTGTTTTTCCCTTGATCATTGGATGTCAATCTCAGCGGCACATCATATTAACTCCCTGGGGAGCATACAACTCTTGCTGCCACTAGGTGCACCGAATTAATGTGACTTCCCCACCCTTTTGCAGTACCCATTCACAGCTGGGTTGACTGGGACACATAGTCACAGTACTTTGTCCAAGTTTACTGCACATTGCTGTACCCGCAACTAGGTGTTTGCACGTATTCATGTGGCCACCATCTGGTCTTTTACCAACGGATTCGTGGGTTCTTTTAAGTGCACAGGGTTGTGTACTGTACACTAGGGCCAGGGGTTGTGACAACACTGAAAGAGTCTGCACACAAATTTGACTCCAAGGATTTTACGCCCGGTCACAGGTGGGCTCGATCCCGGCACCTCAAGCTCGCTGGATCAAGAGCCTGGCACCTTGGACAGCTCACCCAACGATCCACTAGTAGATTTAGGTACCACTTACTACACCAAACTCTATCATTAGTAGTAGATTTAGATCCATTAGTAGCTTTAGGTATCGCTTACCACACAGAACTGTATTATTAGTAGTTTGAGGGGGAAGCCTTCTGCACAGAGCTGCATTATTCTATTTATCAGGTGAAGCCTCCAGGGCTGTATTATTTTTTAATTCACGTAGAGCATCCTCCAAAGTGTTACATTCATTATTCAATTCGGATAAAGCCCTCTACACAGATCTGTATTATTATTAGATTCAAGTAAAGTCAAGTAAAGAAAAAGATTCAGTGTTAACAATTAAGAGCTGAGTATCGTTGCCTAAGCGGGCAAGACGATATATCCCGACACCAGTTTAATGAGACGATATATCATGAAAGTATTGGCAAGGAACCTGCAAGACAATTTATCATCACGATACAATGGTGGCAATACAATACGTATCCCGATACTTTACAATTTCTAATAACAGAACATATATGATTGATAAAATGACTGAAAATTTATTTGTTTTAATGCAGAACTTGTGTTACATTCACACACACACACTTAAAATGCTGTTCATCTAATAAAGTTTCAGCATTTAATGCTTCAGAAAGTACAATCAAATATATTCAGTATACCTTGATTTAATATATATAAGTTTAAAAATGAAGTTTACCCTGGGAAGTTTCTGCACCAATGCTTTCACAAACAATTCAATGTAATTTATACCAGAATTCAGAATCACTGAAAAAACTTCTTAAGCATGCTTTCTAAATTTTATCTTCTCTTTGTTCTCTTTCTTAACAAAGCTAAGACATTGTTCATAGTGATCAATAAATGGTGTTATTTGTCAAACAACTAAAACTTATTTCAATTACTTGAAGACAAGTATTTTACAGTTCACAGAGTTTGAAAAATGTTCACATTCTTTCACTTATACAACAACTCCTTTGTTCATGTAACAGAGATAGCAGACACAAACAAATTCCTTTAATGGTTCAATTTGTTTTTAAAATTTAGAAGAATTTCAAAGAGACTCCCTTCCTATTCCTAATGCAATTCTCCTTACAACTTTAAGTAGTATTTAAGTTGTATCGGGATATATCGTCTCTTGTGTCGATACATCGATGTATCATGGACCCTTGCGATATGAATATACTGATATATTGCCTAAATGATGAATCGTTACACCACTATTAACAATATTCTACAGTTTGATTATGTACATGAACATCTACATCTTATGCACATAGATTCCCACCTTAGTGACTGCCGCTGCTGTAAGTCCACTGACAGCCACACAAAGTACAATGAGAAGGATGTAGATACCTGTAGCTATTGCAGCTAGAGGAATTGGGCTGCACAGAAAACATGTGTTTCCCACCAGTTGATAACCTGAAACAATCATGCAATCAGTCTGTATTCCCTAAAGTGCAAACAGTTGTTGTGAAGACAAGGCTCAAAACCTGTTGCCTAGTTGAGAAATATAGCAGGACAGCAAAGGTTGTCCCCTAAAACGATGGATGTTGTACAAGGCGTATGAACAGTATATAACCCATTGGACCACCAGGAATTGTTCTATTACTGAAAAACATATCAAAACCTAAAATGAGAGAGTGTTGTGAAGAAGATGCAGTCATCAGGAGACTACAACTACTTGTAATCAGTTATATTAAACTCGTTTCTAGTCCACTTGCAATCATTATAACCATAATAAACATAATGTATTTTCTCAGCTCCTGCTCTAATCTGCTTTCTGAAGTAAACTATCAAAATTTCAGTTTGCCACTCAACCAAAGGGTACCGTCAACTTTGAGCAAGTACTCTCAATGAGTTACTAATGATACTAGCAAACAACTCTATGCCAATAGCTACAGTTTCTAGAATCTGTTTCTGAATGCCCAAAATTTTGTAAAGACCAGAAGTCCCAACACATGAGACAAATGAACATGATTAGCATATAAAAATCACAAGCTTAATCATGCATTGCTATTTACATATCAAGGATGTAGTGATCCATACACTACATCCTTAGGAAGATACTGAGTGTGCTAAAGAGGAAAAGTGTTCATACAATCAAAATGTAAGTGTTGATCCTGACTAGCCTTTTCATGAAGCTGGAAGTAGACACAAGATTTTTTACCCTCCAAAAGTTATATGAATATGTTACCATGTGGGTAGTAACAGTTTTTTTCATGTGTCTTAATGTTAGCTATTTTATTCCACTTGTGTTGTAGATGCAAGCTGGCAGTTTTTACAAAAAAACAAATAAGTTGTTTAAAAATTGTTTTCTTTCCACTTTTCATCATTTTATTGTTGGCAGAATAAAAAAAACACACTCAAAAAAGGTTTCACAGAGTATACCTAGAGGTAATGATATACCACAAAATCTTGGTATACATTATACAATATGCTTCTTTGTGTACCTTTCTACGCATGGACAGTTTCGGTGTATACTCATCTATTGTTCAGTCTGATCATGTATTGACTTTGTCTTCCACTGATGAAGGAATTTGATCGGGAAAAGGATTTAGTAAAAGAATGAACTTTTAATTTCTTTTTATATGTCTAAACTTAAAGGTGTTTTCATTTTCAATTTCATATTCCAAGTACTAGTATTAGAGATTTACTTTACTTAATTTTTTTTAATTCATGGTGATTTGACAAAAAAAATTATGTCCACATGCAATCAATATTATAAATCATTCATATAGTCTTAAGTTTGCACTACAAAAGAAATGCAAAAATTAGCATATATGGAAAAATACAGAATCATCAGAGTAATGCACATATCTTACTTGTATAATTTTAGCATTATATATTTACTCATTTATTGTACCTTGATCTGTCCTTGCATGGAAGCACACTTCACAGCTGAGACCTGTTGTGCCCAGGAGACAAGTGTTGTTTGCCATGCAGTGGTGGGGGAAGAAGCATGGTGCACAGGCTGTCACATTGGAACTGTCTTCAGTGGGAAACAACAAATGTCTTCAATCAGTTCATTGGCATAACCATTTAAACAATAGCAGAGCACCACTATGCTAACATTCATGTTAAACTGCATCATGGTATCTAAGTCGGAATAGAAACATCATTAATCATTGCCTGTCCAAGCTCTCTCTCCCTCTCTCTCACACACACACTCACACACACGACAAAGTACTTCATAAGTAGAGTCATCCAATAATTGTGAGCATGTCAAATCCCATTTCACCTCATCCACCACCTCTATTGGAGGATCATGAAACTCACGTGAATGAATGATTGAATGAATGAATCAATCAATCAATGTCTTTATTTCCTCCAGAGTTTCCTCATACAAAGGCAAATACATTATTTACAACACATCACTTGCAATAAACATAATGAAACAACATTTGTAGCAAAATGGAAGCACATGTTCAACTGCTCATTAATAGGTAATTTACAAATGTACAATTTGTGAGCAGTAGGGAGATTCTGTTTAGTAGATGCTTCTTTAGATTCCATATCAAGTGAGAAATGACTGTATTATGTATTCCCATGTAACATAGTCAATTGTTTCAGTTAAGTCATGTATATCTCATACCTCTTGCGTACTGTGCTGATGGATAAATGAATCCTGACAATCCTTCAAAACAACGTTCCCCATTCATGGTCCAGGATCATGTACAGGAACTTCCCTTCATGACAGGCTTTTTCTGGAAGTGGAACATTCAGTGTTAGGGTTAAGTTGATCATCTGCATCAGTTGAATTTAATGGTAACCTTGTTTCATTTCTCCTGCCCTTAATATATTTGTGATCCCTGGGGACTTTCAGATTGACTGTAATTATTTGGGAGGTCCCAGGTTTAAAACTGTGGTCTCAGGGTGACCACCGCAAACAACAGCAAACATCATATTACTTAAGCTGAAAGGGGCGTTGGTACCAGTACTACATATTTGTTACAATGTACCCCAGTTATGTTTCTGTATACAGAACAAAGTCAAAATACAGAAACATCTCATACAGCAGTATGACAGTTCTGATCAAAAAACGGATCAATGTGGAATGGAAGTGCACTCTGACTAACTATCCTGGTGCTCATTATTTTCAATGTGTTTGTCCAGTTTACTTGGACTTACCAAAGAGGTATATACGTCTTTGGACCTACCTTTAAAATACAGCACAAACTTTACAAATCACATCAAAATACATCACATGCACAATAAGTAAACATATGGGCGGTGGGGTAGCTTAGTGGTTAAAGCGTTCGCTCGGCACGCCAAAGACCCGGGTTTGATTCCCCACATGGGTACAAACTGTGAAGCCCATATTTCTGGTGTCCCCGTGATGATATTGCTTAAGAATATTGCTAAAAGCGACCTTAAACCATACTCACTCACCCCCAATTGAAGTAAATATGAAAATTATCACCGATCAGACAAATACTGCTGTTAAAACAAGAACAATAAAATTCTAAAATATATCAGCCGTGTCACTGAGATAGAGGACGTTTCTAAAGCTGAAGTAATTTGAAATGTAATCATTGTTATAGTTCAAATTCTGTCTTTCTTAGACATATAATATTCAGCATTTGAAAATTTGAAAGATAATACATGATACTTATCTGTTGGTTAATATGAAAATGTTGACATTCACTGTGTTAGTTGGAATTAGATTTCTACCTTGAGAAAGTGAACGTTACTGGTTTCTATTCAAATATACTCAGGCAAATCTTTTCCAAAGTATAGTATTTGATAATGAGTCATATATCAGATGTGTCGCAGACAAAAACCTTGTAACGTACGCGTTCTTAATACACTGGGTGGCTTGAATAAAACGCGTGTTCAAAGCTGCTATCGAAAAGAGTCTTCTGAATATGGCGCCACAGCAACTGAATGAGAGGTCATCACCCATTGGTCAAAAACAAAGCGCGGTTCCCATTGGATAGCTGAGAAACCTAAGCAGCCCGTGACCATCAGGTACACTACAACATTATCTAGAGCCATTAACATATAACAGCTAACTATGGCATACCGGGGACCTTCGTATGGGCTAAGCCTAGACTGCCAAAAAAAGGTAACCGTTTCAACATTTTTATAATTATATTTTCCAACTATTTCTAATTTCATTCCATTTTGTTCAAATTACGGTGTTAGTTGTCTTAAGTGAACTTGCAATGTCACGTCAAATGTCACTGTTGGTATGGTATGTACTGGTGCGTATTGTTTCACAGTTTTAGATATTGCTGTACGAAGTATTTCATTTTACAATCTGTTATAGGATAGCAAACATCCACGACCTCACAGAAATTAGCATATTTAAACTAAAATATAAATTAGTATTTATCTATATATATATGTGTGTGTGTTACGATATATTTTTAAAAATACTAATTTACATTTTAGTTTATGTATGGTAATTAATATGCTGACACTAAGTATGTTGTGTTTCAAACTAATGTGAAAGGCTATGACGTCAGTGATACAGTAGCTACAATTCAGTGACTAAACATCTTTTAAGGCTCAGCAGCTAGTGGTGGAGAATAGTGTGCTTATAGAATTTAGCACAGAGCTGGTTGTCAAGCGAGCACCTGAACACTGAGATAGCCTGTCTGATAGGCTTCTCACATGAATGACGGCCCATTGGCAGGTGAAACAGAACCTAGAGGAATAAATGAGCTCCTGGTCCGAGCTTTTTGTAATGCGACCTAATATATTGTAAACGAACGAGTATCGTCTGTGGCACGATAAACATTGTATACGTTTAATACATAGACTCCCGTTGGGGTCAAATCACGATGTGTTCATTAAGGAATGCATGTATTTGTGAACTGTTGAACAAATCAAGTGACTACAGATGGGGTAATATATGTTGTGCACTCCCAATATTTCACTTGGTGTTAGTGTAATGTTTTGTAGGGCATGGCGAGGACAACGATGGCACCACGTTAGATGTCGATCTGTCATGGTTGGTATGTGTGTACAAAGAAGTCACTGTGGCGAATTTCTACATCAGCAACTAATGAGAGTCTTTAGCCACTAAGCATTGTGTTGTCATTGAAATATTTAAGGTTTAAGGTTCATTACATACATATGGGTGACATAAGTGTTGTAAAGACTCAAAAGGATAAACCCATCATGACGTGCTATTGTAGAACGAGTTACATGATTACACGCACTGCCTGTTCGACTAATTCATCTAATACATTTAGAATTGTCCCTCTTTTTACGTATCTCGGAGTAATTACGAGGGCCCCGATATGCTGATTCCTTACAACATCCATCCTGTACACAGACAACAGGTGCATGTGACTCATAGTCCTCTCTGAAATGCTGAAATATCATCGACTATACATTTGTCTCTTTTCTATCATGTTTCTTCAACCTACGATTGACCCTGTTTGTCCATCGTCTCTCTCTCCATTAAAATATACCTTCAATAATCTATCTAGCGTGTATCTGATAGACGCCGCTCGTCTGCAATCTACGATAGTCCTCGTTTGTCTCCTTCTCTACAGTCTACGATAGTCTTGTTTGTCTATCTTTCTCTACAATCTACGATAGTCCTTGTTTGTCTATATTTCTCTACAATCTACGATAGTCCTTGTTTGTCTTGTTTCTCTACAATCTACGAAGGGGTTTTGTTACTTAAATATACAGTGTTGTAAGGGCTTAATAGGCACAGTATTACTCTGTGATGTTTGACTATCGTTTCTGCACCACTGAACGGGGCCGTGTTTGTCCACTGTCTCTGCACCACTGGTACGGGACCGTCTTTGTCCACTTTCTCTGGACGGGGCCGTGTTTGTCCACTGTCTCTACACTACTGGACGGGGCCGTGTTTGTCCACTGTCTCTACACCACTGGACGGGGCCGTGTTTGTCCACTGTCTCTACGCCACTGGACGGGGCCGTGTTTGTCCACTGTCTCTACGCCACTGGACGGGGCCGTGTTTGTCCACTGTCTCTGGACGGGGCCGTGTTTGTCCACTGTCTCTACACCACTGGACGGGGCCGTGTTTGTCCACTGTCTCTACGCCACTGGACGGGGCCGTGTTTGTCCACTGTCTCTGGACGGGGCCGTGTTTATCCACTGTCTCTACACCACTGGACGGGGCCGTGTTTGTCCACTGTCTCTACGCCACTGGACGGGGCCGTGTTTGTCCACTGTCTCTGGACGGGGCCGTGTTTGTCCACTGTCTCTGCACCACTGGTACGGGGCCGTGTTTGTCCACTGTCTCTGGACGGGGCCGTGTTTGTCCACTGTCTCTACACCACTGGACGGGGCCGTGTTTGTCCACTGTCTCTACGCCACTGGACGGGGCCGTGTTTGTCCACTGTCTCTGCACCACTGGTACGGGGCCGTGTTTGTCCACTGTCTCTGCACCACTGGTACGGGACCGTGTTTGTCCACTTTCTCTGGACGGGGCCGTGTTTGTCCACTGTCTCTGCACCACTGGACGGGGCCGTGTTTGTCCACTGTCTCTGCACCACTGGTACGGGGCCGTGTTTGTCCACTGTCTCTGCACCACTGGACGGGGCCGTGTTTGTCCACTGTCTCTGGACGGGGCCGTGTTTGTCCACTGTCTCTACACCACTGGACGGGGCCTCTTTGTCCACTGTCTCTACGCCACTGGACGGGGCCGTGTTTGTCCACTGTCTCACGGGGCCGTGTTTGTCCACCTCTCTACACCACTGGACGGGGCCGTGTTTGTCCACTGCCTGTCCACTGGACGGGGCCGTGTTTGTCCACTGTCTCTACACCACTGGACGGGGCCGTATTCGTCCACTGTTCAACCACTGGACGGGGCCGTCCACTGTCCACTGGACGGGGCCGTGTTCGTCCACTGCCTCAACCACTGGACGACGGGGCCGTGTTTGTCCACTGTCTCTGCACCACTGGACGGGGCCGTGTTTGTCCACTGTCTCTGCACCACTGGTACGGGACCGTGTTTGTCCACTGTCTCTGGACGGGGCCGTGTTTGTCCACTGTCTCTACACCACTGGACGGGGCCGTGTTTGTCCACTGTCTCTACACCACTGGACGGGGCCGTGTTTGTCCACTGCCTCAACACCACTGGACGGGGCCGTGTTCGTCCACTGCCTCAACGCCACTGGACGGGGCCGTGTTTGTCCACTGTCTCTGCACCACTGGATCGACGGGGCCGTGTTTGTCCACTGCCTCTACACCCCTAGAGGAGACCGTGGTTTTCACCAATGTGTTGTAGGTCTGAGACCTGCACTTCGGGCTATCCGTCCTAACATAAGCAGACACATCGTTTATAACTGGAATACTCTTCAAACCGACGTTAAGTTCCACACACTCACTACTGCAGAGTACGAATCTATCTATAGAGAGGCTAACCATCCGTCGCTAACAGTGTATCTGGTGATTGGCAGGTAGTCTTAGTGGTAATTCAACGAGCGTGATACGTACAATGTGGCCTGCGTTCCATGGCAACATAATCTGGAAAAGTACATACTGTGTTACACGTGGGCTTATGCCGTTTGTTAAAACATATTTAATTGTGAATGATGTATAAATAGATGTATAATTTAGATGAACATTTATTAACGTCAAAAGCAACAAAAGACAGGGAGGTGTATGCATCGATCTTAGCGCTAAGGTGACCGTAGCTCCCATACCTTAACACACATCGGCGATAGTAGTATAATATACTAGTCCTCTAGGGTCAGCTGATGGACCACACCGATGTCAATAGTTTATGGTCTGTGTATACATTTGCCAAGTCAAATATTCTTACAACAAAATGGAAGCTGAATTGTAGGATGTTGACTAAAGCTGTGACCATAATTTAAAATATGATGGTGTCTATTTCCGCTATAACTAGACGAGGGAGAAGTTTGATCTGGACAAGGCTAAGGAAGCCATATCGTGGATCGAGCAGGTGACAGGTAGAACTTTGCAGCCGGCATCAGGAGAATTCCGGAATGAGCGTGATGTTGCAGCCGTTCTCAAAAATGGTGTCGCCTTGTGTGAGTAAGTGGCTTTGGTTTGTCCCTTGAATATCGTTCTTGTTGTCATTCAATCTATATTTGGTAGGTATATGATATACCAATATCTAGGAGGTACAAATTCTATGTTTCCACATAGATCTAATCTGCTGGTAGCATGTTACTGAGCTGGTTTAGCTCTATGGCAAATCAAGGTTGTTAGGATGTGTTACAGGGGCTAGTTACCTGGTGTGAGCACTGACGATAGAACAACTCATATGTAGCCTCTTTGGTGTGGTAAATGGATGCCAAATATTAAAGAGAGAAAAGACTGAAAAATAGTTTGTCTTGATTGTCGGAGTGAATCCCGACATTATAAGACAAAAATATATTTAACCCCAGCTACCCGTGAACCTGCTTTCCCGGGCTTATCACTTATCACTTTTGCGTGTTGAAACCTGATTAGCACTTTTAGGTGGATGGCGGCGTATTAAGATGCTTTGAAACCTGTGTTTAACTAAAAGGAGTATCTGTCGAATGTAAAGGTCAGGGCACACCATGTGCCGGCTTGTTCCTAGGATTTGACCAAATACAGACCTATATCCTGAAATAAGCGAACACTGATGACTTTAATTAACCCACGGGACATCTATGAACACATCCAAGACTTAAGATGATTTTCAGCTTTGGGTTAAGATTATCTCAAATTGAAGCATTAGAAAAACACTTTCTTACAGACTCATTTTAGGCTTTCTTCTGCAAATGATCAAATGAATACATAAATCTGTCTGTTTAGCATACATCCATCTAGTGTTTCATTGGCCCTGTTACATAAGTTGCAGTCTGGCCCCCAGCCCGTGCCTTCACACTAGGACCCTCTCTGTTTCAGATTAATGAACAAGATACAACCAAAGTCTATACCGAAAATCCACAAATCAATGGCCCCATTTCAACAGGTAATGCTTTGAATGCACACATATCTCATAGTCATTAAAATACGTTAGTTTGCCATTCGTTGTACATAATTCGAAGAAGTAACACCGTATTTTTATGCTAGATGGAGAATCTGGATATGTTCACAGCAGCATGCAGTAAGTATGGGATGAACAACCTGGACATATTCCAGACTGGGGACCTGTACGAAGTGAAGGCCATGTACACAGTGAGTAGTCACTACGTCTATTACACAAGCACAAACCTCCTACACGAGTGTTTGCTGTGCCCTGTACAAAAGATAAGCTGTATTTTCATCAGTAATCAAGTATGTGATGACCTCAATTACGAAGCAGTAATAATATTATCTGACAAAGACAATTTTACTTACTTTAGCAACAAAGTTGTTATGTTCCTGCTGAATTTAATCTATGATTTTACATGATGGACCAAAGATTTATTTGGTACCAAGCATAGCAGCATAGGGCACATCAGTTTCCCTTTGTACCAAGCTAAGAGTATACAAGGGGTGGCTGAAAGGTTCTCGACAGTCTACTCATGATAAGTATACTACTTTTAACGTTGACAGGCTGCAATTGAACCAAAGTAGATAACCATGAAGTATATTTGTGCAAAAAGATTAGGTGTTCCCTGTTGATGAAAATAGTAAAGATTGACTACCGAGCTGTCACCAAGTATCTCAAACTCAAGCCATGTATACTTTAGGGTATGGCGCTTCTTCCTTTGCCACTGAGATATGGGACGCTGAGTTCAAGAGGGTTTTTGAGACAGCCTTTAAGATGATCCTAGATGGGGTAGACCTCGACCTACACACACAAATGAAGTGACTATGGATCATGGACGAATCACCACCTGTCAAACAGTCAATACAGTAATTATCTCTCATGAGATAGTTGAGAACATTCTGAGGAATGACTTTGGCATCACAATTGTTCCATCACACCAAGTTCCAAGATTTCTAAACAGGAAAGCTTCAGAATTATCATCTCTTATGAGCATTTGCGTCATCTTGAAGCACACCCAGCCGATTTTGTCAAGCGATTTGTAACCATGGCTGATTCTTGACTTCACTAACAGTCACGCCTTTTCCATCAGCTTGCAAGGTGAAAGCTTCAGTTTCCTGGGTTTCCAAAGGAATCCTGTTGGTGGACTACGTCTGAAAACGTCCTAGCATTAATTACCAATATTATTCTCATCTGCATAGGACAATAGCCTTAGTATATCATGACTAAAGCATGTAGACAATGCAACATGTGATGGCTACAATGCATGCAATTTGAATTAAATGAATTTGAATTCCCTATTCCACAGATATGGGGCCATCTGAGTTCCACCTCTTCCCAAACTTGAGTAAGTCATTGTCTGGAAGGCCTTATGCAAATGGTATTGTCATGTTTGCTAAAGTGCATGTTTTACACTACCAGCAGGCTTTCTAAACCAATGGAATTAAGGCATTTCTGCACTGTTGGCAGATTTTTCAACCACTCCCCAAATCACTTACCTTGGCATCAAGCATAGCAGCCTTATAGTGAACTAGTGTCCCTTGATACCAAGCACAACAACACCTGGCATGTATCAAAACATTGGTGGTTGCTGAACCGGAATCTGCTTATGTCAGTGCACACGACAGACCAGTATGAAAATGTGTCCAAACCTGTGGGAACTGTATAACATAGCAGATGCTTCATAGGATGTTGTGTTTGACTGGATTTTGTGTTGTGTTCCAGGTTGTCAACTGCATCCATGCTCTTGGGTCTCTGGTAAGTAGTTTGGAAAGGAAGACACCAATTGCAAATGTATGTATGAAGTGGCTGATAAAATAAGCGGGTTCCAAATTTGCACTTGTTTTGGTAACTATATCCTAAATCATGAAAATCATGAAACCTAAGTCTTCGTTTATAGTCGTATCCAAGGTATCATAAGAAACCAGCTTTCCATGGTAGAAGAAATACCGCTGTCAAGGGACCTACCTTGGCTGGAGCAAGGTTGTCAAAAACTAATTCCTTTCAAATGCCATCCAAACAAAATGTAACAACCAGAACTGGATGTGCAGAAGCTAATGCTAATGGTGAGCTCTCATACTCAAAGTCTGAAGTGTTATCAACAATGATAATAACTCCTTATTGCCTTATTTCCTGAAACTTGTTTCTTATCAACAGGTTTAACTTGAATAACATTTTTTATAAAACATCTGTATGTTGTGTTGTTACTTCACAGTGGTCTTTCCAAGCGCTTCTAAGAAGGAGTTGTCTCCCCTGACAGGTTCGGGGAAAATTAATAATTTTTCCATAGGATAGTTTGTGTGAAAGGCACTCTGGGATTCCGGGGTAAGGGTGGACGGGCCTTTACATCAAGTGTTAGAAGTAGTACTCTAAGAATGCTTATCCTTGTTGATGATATTTCAGAATTCTAAGAATACGTCCATGTAACACTTGATTGCAAATTCCACGTAGGCTTGTTGCCACAAGAGAACCCCATAAAAGGCTGAGTATCTGGCACCGGACTTATAATAGGTCGGCAACTATAGTACTGTCGGAAATAGAACAAAAACTGTTTTTAGGCTGTTACTCTGTATCCCTAAAATTTACACAATTGCAAATAGCATATGTCGAAATAACCCACTTCGGCCTAACTGGGCGTTCAGTGGGATACGATATCCAGAAAAGCATGTTTACTCGTAAAATCGGGCAAAACTCAGAAAAAATACGAATAGCTGCTCAAAACAATAGATCAGACTATAGATGGCAATTAGGTCGCTCAGCCAGGTATGACGACGGACCGCCGACTCACCTGGCATGAAATGCACGCGCTGCCTACAGGCACAAGGGGTCATCTCAAAGATATTTTGTGCTTTGTCCATGTGTGTTGACTATGTCTCATCTACTGATTAACATCTTACGTGTCTTTCTTTCATAAAGTTTATGTTGAGATATGTAAGAGAGTATGATACCCGAAAACCACAGAAACGCATCGTAGTATATAGGTGGCATGACCACCCGAAGATCGACAGGACTGGATATTATTTGTAAATTGTTATGACGTGCTGTGTACCTCCCCAGTATAATTGCCCTAAAGGATTATCTTATCTTAGCTGATATCTCTATCACCAAGCCCGACCCCAGGTTTTGCTTTTGAGGCGACCCCTCATATCTGTTTCTTTTTATAGTGACAGTGAGACTGCATGGTAGCTACATCCTTAATAGTTTCGGCATAAAAGTTATTATTTTTGACGTCAGCTATCGTTTATAATGAATCTTCGTCTAATTTCAAATTGGGCATTTAAAAAGTGTCCTTTGTAATACAATATCGTCGCACACTAATTTGCATAAAGCCATGGTCTGTTCCAAATAAGTCTTTTTGGACATAAAAAAACCGCATTGCTCATTTCTGCACTAATTTCCCCTCAGTAAAGTCCTTTTTCTCCGTTTCCTATCTCTCTACCACTGAGACTGTAGTTAGGCCGAACTTAGTTTAACAGATATTTCACACTTTCACATATCAACTACATAAATTGTAGAGATAAATGAGAAAATACAGTTTTTTTTCTATTTCCGACAGTACTATAGTTGTTTTGAGATGTTGCAAACAGAGCTATGCTCAGTTACTCCCATTTGTTTGCTTTCTGCCTGAAGGCGACTGAATGAGGTCCATACTGTTATCAAAATCTTGTCCGGGCGCTCTTCTCCAGTATATGTTGATATGGACTGGTGCTTTTAGATCCCAACAACCTGATGCCGCCATGTCCTCTAGATGGGCTCCCCAGCCTGTGAGGCATCCGTGCAGATATGGCGATATGTTGACAGCATCCTGATTGGCGTCCCCCTGTATGACATTGGTGGGGATCATCAACCAGACAAGGACCCTGAACGCTAGCTCTGTATGTGTTATGACAGTCTAGCTGTTCGCCCCGTTGATGATTAATCCACTTCTGATGATATCTGGGATGCAGATGTTCTCGGAAAGTGAACCGTTCTTCAATTTTCAATATCAGGTGTGTGAACTTCAGGGGTCTAAAAGCATGCAAAAAGTTCATTGTGCACAAAGTGCTCATGCCCATTCTCTTCCCACAACCTCTATGGGAAGAGAATGTCTCATGCCAAGTGCAATTCGTGACATCAATTTTCATGCAAAGTGCATTGCTATGTTTATTTAGGGTTATTTATATAACTTTTTATTAAACTTTGATTTGATGCAATTTTATGTTATGCACAGTTACCTTTTTTTTCGTAAGTATATGTAAGCGCTCCCAAGAGCGACATCCAGTGTCTCAGAATGTGGAGAGAATCTGCATATTCTCGTCTCCATTGATGTTTGGTGACAGGAAATCGTCGAGGTATCCGTGAATTCTGCAGATGGAGGTATGCAAGCACTGGGGCTGTTATCATTGTAAAATGCCATGGAGCAATTGAGATTCTAAATGGGAGGACCTTGAATTGGAATAGTTGGGAAAGCATAGATATTTGGGCTTCTGAAGGTGATATCGAGGACCCATTGGGTATGACTTCAACGGGGGTCTCTTAGGGAACTGAAGACTGAATCCCTCTTTGATGATCTTGAGGATCTATTTATTGGTAATGACCTTCCAGTTGAATGGTGATTGACAGTCCCTGGAACACCTTCACCTGAAACCCTGGCATCTGGTCTCTGATACCTAGTGGAGTCATGGAGTGTCAATAGGAATTAATGCCTGGCTTGTCGAACCTCAGTGACGGAAAGGGCTCATTGAATCCTCTAGGCTGAGGCTTGGGCTGAGACTTGGGCTTAGTAGCTGTAATTGCATACAACATATATTTATAAGAGAGAGAGAGAAGGCTTGAGAGTGGCCAGACAGTTTCCTCGACATCATCGGAGTTACGCTTAGATCTAGCTAACAGGGAGGAAGTAAAACACCTTCGAGTCAACCAGAGCCCCCTGACGGTCCAATTCCTCAGCTGGGATAATCAGGTCAGGCAGGGTCTCTCAATGCACTCCCAGCAGTTATCGTGAGGGTTGTGGTGGAACATAAGCATTTTCCACAATACTTAATAGCTGTAATTGAATACAAAATATATTTCTTGCTTGTAGATTTACCCATTTTATAATAAGATCAACTTTGGAAATTTTATATTTTTTTTCAGAGAATAAAAGAGCACATGTGATTGTGAGCGCCATAGGAAAATTATGAACTCTCCCGAGCCTGTTAGGGGAGGCAACTCCTTTGGAGAAGCAGTTGTGAAGACCACTATAGAAAGTAACACAACACATCATTTTTGATGTTTTAGATTTTTTTATTCAAGTTAAACCTATGGATCAGAAACAAGTTCCAGGAAATAACTCAAGTGTTACAGAGACATGTTCGTAAGAATTATGCCTTGTCTTGTAGGTTCCACTTACAGACCCTCCCCAGTTGAGCAAGGGAGTCACATTGGAAAAATATCAGTCATATACAGTTTAAACTGGGTGGTGTTTAGGGATGTGTTACATATGATATTATAACTTCAGGCTCGGAAGAATGGTTTTGAAGACTCCCAGTTTGGTGTGAAGTTAGCCGACAAGAATGAACGTAAATTCACTGAAGATCAGATAGCTGAATCAAACCGGGTCATAGGTCTCCAGTATGGGAGTAACAAGGTGGCTTCTCAAGCAGGCATGACACCCTACGGACTGGCTCGGCAGATCCTTTCTCCAAGCTCTCCTACAGAAAGCCAGCCTCCTCTGTGACCATCTACAATCAGGCTTACAATATCTTAATGACAATGAACTTCCTTGTGTCTGCTCATGTGTCACTGGCGAAGTGTGTAACCTTTATAGGCAGCAAGTGTGCCTGTCTCCAGTCCCTTCACAGGCAGCCAGTCTCCATTTAACTTTCTACAAGCTGTGCTTAATCAACAAGACCCAATGTGAGCCCCCAACACAATGCCATCTAAAGAACAGATGATAAAAGTTTGAGTGTGACATGGATATTATGCTTTACAGCTTAGTTGCAGATATTTCATGGCTTAGCGATATTATCATCCTTAACCAAAATCAGCAACAAGCACTGATCTGATGTGACATTCAGTATTTGTTAATATCAATATTTTCAAATAAAATACTATACTGGTACTTAAGTTACGATGATCTATTAAACATTTAAGGTGAAGGTTGTGACAGGGGGCCGACAAGGCTTGAAACTGTATGCCTGCAGTCTCAGGTAGGGCTTTACATTGCATGCCTGCAGTCTGTCATATAATATACCATAAGCAATAACCTTACATTCACCAAATTAACACAACAAAAATACTGTTTGAACATTTATTTTACAATTGCAAATGCATTGTCAATGACTGGAACAACCAATCGGCATAGAGTACGGAAGTTTTAGAGACAGATGAAATAAGACAGGATATAGAGCAGACTAAGAGGAAAACAGGCTACAGAACAGTAGAAGCATGGTACTGTACAAATACTTTCACACACTTGTCTACATTCACAACTAATTACACATACAACACCATATTCATCAAATCATACAGCCAGCTGTCAGATCACTGCATAAAAATCATCCTGTCACACAAAACAAAAATGAATTAAATATGTTAAACACATAAATGTAGAAGTATAAAACAGAGGTGGCTACTAGCAGTAACTGCAACTGTTTGCTGGCAAGGGCAAAGAAAATAATCTCAATACTGGGAACTGATGCTGTATTAATGCTTCAAAACAAAAGCATGCAATGCCTGCACCCAAGGGTCTAATACAAATCCTTCATGAGTGAGAAGGGGATGAAGATGTTCCTGTATACCTCCACAGGTAACACATGACAAGAGCTGCAGCTTTGGACATTATTCACAGAGTAACAGGTCACACAGTATGAGATGATTTTCATTGTGTACTTGAATGTAGGAATGTGATATCATTAAAAAGCATAAACAATTTAGAGCCTGCTTGTGGGGCCACAGTAAATCCCATTATTTACTCTTTTTGTCTCTCTGAAAGTCATCAATGTAGGTTACCTTACCTACATCAAGAGAAGTTTATGACATATTGTGCCTCATGTAGACTATGTACTATTGGCAAGTTAACTAGTGACAGAAAATGAACACACACATAATGATCTTACTTACACATTATGATTAACAAACCTTCAGATAATAACAAGAAGGAATATTAAAGCTATACAATGATGTCAGGTAAGGAAATACTGAACGTCCTACTGTGGTACTACAGTGTATTTATAACCAGCAGTAGCAGCATGTGGACATGTTTCATCACATACGTACACAATGACAAGTGATGGGTGTGAATACTGTAAATGTTCACTGGTTGGCTGTAGAGATGAAGGTGGCACTCACTCCATCACTATACAAGAGAAGCACAGTAAACCCTGCTGGAGCTATTATACTTCTCCAAATGAACTAAAACTAAAGCAACTCTACATCTCACTGGAGCGAGCTGATGTTGATATCAATTGATCATCGTCCAGAAAGTCTAACTGAACTTAAGTGACTCGGCTGCACAAGTTTCTCTTTTTGGTGAAATAGAGGCTAAAAGTCACTGAGATGTGAAGCCTGGAACAAAATGTCTGTCTGGGAAAGCATCATATAAAAACACGCTGTTTAAATATAAAAACAGTAAGCAGAAATGACATGTCATCATGAAATATATCAGTGCCGCCAAAAGAGTGATGATATTTCTTCATTAAATAATCGAACAATATACTACCATTAATATCAAGTCAGTTACATTGTGACATCACAATGATACATTTTTGGATTAATTCAGAACAAATGGTCCAAATCACATCAACTGCTTCATGCATGGAATGTGTGGTGTACTACTGAATCTCGTACATCAGGCTGGAGAGACCGGTGCTTTTTGTACAGACAGCAGAGAAATAAAATAGAATGAAGCAGCCATACAAAACAGTTTGGACTTACGTTCTATATCAAATTGAACATGTCCATAAATACAGCAGAGCCCTCCAACAGGAATCGGTAGAGGTACCAGACACACGCAGCAATGCAATGGGTCATATTAAACAAGGGGACAACTTAATCTGCAATACCTTTATTGGAGTATTACATTATTAAATAGCCATCTGCCCTGATTAATGATTCACAACTCTAAGGGCAAGATGACTGGCCAGTTAATTTATTTCGTTCATATGCATATTACACCATCCCACAAGCATAAACACACTATCTGAATGTGTCCACTTATATTGGGTCACACAAGGGAACTTAAAGGGAGCATCAGTATTCAAGTCATATCACTGCATGCCAGCTTGATGTGATAGGAAACACTGATGCAGAGGACACAACTCCAACTATCTGACTGCATAACTTACAGAACTGCACTGTAATCAATCTTTGGCATTACATTTTATTTAGAAAATATCCTCTACAAGAAATGTTGTTTTTCTTCAACGCAACCCCATTCATCCTAAAACAGTTTTATGTAATACTGTACATAAAGCATATGTCATGATTTACTGTTTGAAGTGTCCATATAAATATATGGTTAAGCCATATTTCTTTTTAGTAATAATGGACATAATTTCAAATCCAAGTTGCCATACACAGCATTTCTATATGATACTGTACATTCAGATTTGATGTAGCTGGGTTTATGGCCATTAACAAAGTCCATACAGATCATGGTGACCCCACAGACACACAGCTTCATATGTGTCTACCACCATCCTACGTGAAACAGGGGATGCTGAGGAGATGCAACAGTCCTTACTTGTCCATATTCCCAGTCTGACTGTCAGCAAATTAGTCTGAGTACAAAATTAGACTCAGTAGCGTTGATCCAATTTCTGGCGTTTGCGATAGGAGTCAGCATAATGTCCCCCGATGCCTTGCGAATGTTGCCCTATGATATATTCACCTTCTGGGCTGGGTTCTGGTTTTGGTAAGAGAGAACTATAACTTCGCTTTTGACCAATTGGCGTGCTCTGAAAAACAGAGAAATCAAATATTTATTATTGCCATACTTAAAGTGCTTTTTCAATAGAGGTGTGACGATACAGAAACTTCACGATACAACATGATATGTATTGTGATATCTTGGAACGATACGATTCGATGCATATCAGGATATGCTATCTTTATTTTCTTTAAAAAAGTATATTTTGACAGAAAGTAACAGTGTACATTTTGACATACCCGTCAATTCCTACTGAAAATTAACAATTTAAGGTCAGCGATACAAATAACGATATGAAAAGAATTATCTATATATTCTCCTTAGATAAAGTATGACTATTATCAGTACTGCAATATATCGTCTAACAGCTCTAACTTTCAAATAATTAGTATAATAATGACATTACAGATAGTATACTTGATGATTTATTTCAACAATGAAAAGCACATACAAATAAAAAGACATATTTTATGCAGTGTAAGTGGCAGTGTAATACATTGTGCAAAAATTCAACTTATATATTTTACCATTTGACATTCATTTAGGGGCAGTGGTGTGCTCTATATTTCGATTTGTGTTAGACTGAGACAGAAAGATCTGCAATGTGCTACAAGGAGCAGATTCCAGAATCATCTGTCTTTGAGAGTACTGTAGAATTTTCTGGCATCTTTTTCTTTGGTATAAACTAGGAGTTAACTCCTGCCTCTGTCTCAAGTTACCAGAGTACAAGCACAGTGTGTGATGATCAGTATAGCCTTCCAGGCCTATCTTCCAGGGTTCACTTCTATTGCTGAGAGGAGAATATTACCAACACTGTATTTATTCCTATAAGCACTGCTCTTGTAATATATTAGCTTTCAATATGGACTGCCACTCAGTCTTGTACTGCCATTGTGATACCACTTTATCGGTTGTGAACTTAGTTAAGTTCAGAATACAAGTGTTAATTACAGCACATTTCTTTGTTGTTTGTTGGTTTCACACATAGTTCTCTTACAGCCCGATTGCCAGGTAACTATACTAGCCACATAAAGAAACTGTGCATTGTCAAAATATTATCCCAGTTGATAAGTACGATAACAATGTCAAAGGTACATATAAACTTTAATGGAGGGATCATGAGACCATAACAAGTTGGGAGAATTTCAATTGAAAAGTCAATCACAATGACGTCACGAGTCCAAAAGCGGGACAGGGGTCAAACGACCATATCACAAGCTCAATAACGGGTATGTCCAGCATCGGCATTGAGAACAGCAGTGCATCGATGACGCATATAGCCTATCAAACGTGCAAGGAAGGCTTGTGGGATGTCACGCCAGATTCTCTCAAGTTCTGTTGCAAGGTCAAGGACGCTATCTGGCGGATGAGGAAGACGGCGTAGACATCGATCCATCTCGTCCCAAACATGCTCTATCGGGGAGAGATCCGGTGAATTTGCAGGCCAAGGCAGTAAGTCAAACGTTGTGGTGTTGCAAGAAATCCATAGCAACCCTTGCCGTATGAGGGCGGGCATTGTCCTGTTGGAATGTTAACCCAGGGCCATGCAGAAAAGGAATGGCCACAGGTCGAAGAATCTGATCCCTGTAGCCCACACCAGTTAAGTTGCCCTGAACAAGCACCAAAGGAGTTCTTTGGCGTGCTGTTATTCCACCCCAAACCATCACAGAACCACCACCAAAGTGATTCCTCTCCAAGACACAGGCCTGTGCATAACGTTCTCCCACGCGTCTATAGGCACGTTGACGTCCATCACTATGTGAAATGTTAAACCTGGACGCATCTGTAAAAACATTTCTCCACCAAAACAAGGGTCTTCGGACATGATTTCGGCACCACATTCGGCGAGCTTGTCGATGACGTTGTGTCAGGATAGGCCGTATGGCAGGACGTCGTGGTCTGATCCCGTGATACGGCGAAGTCCTGGGATGGTTTGGGCAGTCATCACTGCAGTCTGAAACCTGTGGCGAAGATGGGTCACCCATATCCATCTGTCCTGTCTTGGCGTTGTTACACGTGGACGTCCAGAACGTGGCCGATCGATGACGTCATTTGTGTTCTGGTAGCGTCTCATCAGTGCAGAAATGGTGTTCCGGTGGCAGTGGAAATGTGCAGCCACTTGTCGTTCAGACATTCCCCCACGGACCATCCCAATGGCCCCATGACCTTGTGCAGACGTGAGCCTTGGCATGCTATGCGTTTCAATAGCCGTTTAATTTTTTGAACAATCGCAAGGGTAGGAGTTGAGCTTTCCAAAGTGACAGTATTGTGTGGCATTCATTTGCTCTGTTTCTCTTTCCCGGAATGCACGTGCAACAACGTATTGCATGTCTCAAGGACGAACCCACTGACGTCACGGAACAAAGCACGTGCAAGCATGTTGGATACATGTCACTAATCTCTGAGTTTAATTCCTTATGTGTCTACACAGGTTTTATAAATTTAGATTTTAAATTTTTGTATGCACAGTTTCTTTATGTGCCTAGTATATTTAGTTTCATCTTGGGAATCAACACACAACATTCTATTCCACTGAAATTTAAGCAATAGACAGAACTAGTAAAGCACTTTAAGTGAAGGATATATACTAGCTAAATCACAATCATGTGTTGCAAGTTTGTGATGAAAGGAAAAAAAAGACCTAAAGGGAAGTAGCACCAAGAGAAGATATCTGCATATGTTGTATCAGGATATAAACTATTTGCCAGGAATTTGCCAGTATTCCCATATCATATCATTTCATTTCAGGTTCTATTCACTTTCAACAGGTTTGCTAGTTGTTTGGGTGAAACATTAATTACTTCCATATTGCCCTTACATGTATCATGACTCATATAATTTATCATTTCAAAGGAATTGTGATAGGCCACAACCATTATTCAGTGAAATCATTAGCTGTTAAACATGTCACATTATGTGAGTGGAATCTCAGTTTCTGAGATGTAGGACACTTTTGTGTTTCAAACATTCCTGATCTTAGTGCCTTGAGTAAATGGGAGGCAGAAATGTAGCTCTGTTGATCATAAATATAATCGGCTCCCTGAGCTTTTTGTATTCACAAAGAACAATCCTTAAACAATTTTTAAAGTGGAGTTTATTATTATGATCATAACTTTGTCACATTATGTGCCCACACCCTTTGATAAAGTTTGAAGATTTTGAATGAATTTCAAAGTCTCAATTCTGAATATATCAAGTATTTTGCTATGTTGTAATGAACAAATACGGGAAGGGGTTACAAAGAATTATCTTCACTCATCATAATAGTTTGTTGCCTGGATGAAGTCAAGGTTGTGAGGTCAAACAAAAGAAGTGATGAGTTTGAGCTTTAATGTTCGTAAATAATTACAGTTATCCCTCGCCATAATGTGGGTCTTGGGGTCCATGTGTGACACCCCCCCCCCACGCTATACATAACATAGAATAAAGGCCAAGTAAAATGGTAAAATTCCATGGACAAAGAAGAACTACTATTTCGTGTATTGTGCCCAGTCAAAACCTTGTCATATAGTCGGAGGTGAAAATACAAAACTTTGTAAATGAAAATAGATATGAGTAGAGAAACCTGCAATCAAACATCACTATATATGATAATTCAATTGTCGCTTCCTGTTATTCAACTAAGCCAGAAATAGCAATCAGCTGTGTACACGTTTTTATCCAATCAACTGGAGATTCAGTTAAAAAATAATACCAAAGGATTTCTATTCCATTATCAGAAAAATTTATATCTTTAGCAGATATTTTAACTGGGATAATTTATATCGCTATCGTATTAGTATAATGCATGTTTTCTACATACATATTTAACATAATAATTAACATAGGCTAGGCATTTTGTGTACGTGGCTGGATACATTTTACGTATAGAACAGTTTGACAAGTCACCGCTGACTTCCCGCAGTACATGCCACTTTGGTTGTAAAAACAAAATGTTGGCAAATAATCGTCAAATATGACTTCAATGAGTCAATAACACGGGTCTAGTGGTCCATGGATGATGAGGCAACAATAAGTTTGTGATTGCTGAGAATAATGTGAAATTGGTGCTATCACAGAAAATCAGACAGATGGGTACATGGAAAGCAGAAGTAGTACGAGTATACAATGAGGTGATGCATTTCACACACGTTTTCTCTGATGTTACTGTCAACAGTTTTAGTGAATGAAAATGGGACGAAATGTAATCAAATAAAATGAAATCAAGAAGATCGTTTAATTATGTGGTGGACTGAATCACAGCAAACATCGTAAGTACTCGGCTGATGGCATGTCTTTATGATAAAGTTGTCTTTTATAAGTGATGCTGTTCATGTGATTATTTGAGAAAATCCTGAATGTTTCTAAAGCATCTGTAAACCCATTATATGAGGACATGTACAGTGAAAACCTATTTTAATTTCGATCCGCATTGAATTTCGCTAGTTTACAACACGATTAACCTGAGCAAAAACAGTGGACTTGTTGATATGCTATTTCCGATGCGAAGATGTGTGATCATTGGACAGCCTTTTTTTATGGGAGCCACAGATTACCCTGTGGTTTATCCGAATCTGGGGTACCGCGATGGGCGTTATTGTGAGGGATGACTGTACTACAGTTGTACATACTGGCACTTTGATATGGTGAACAGGAGGAGAGGGGGTGTATGCAGAGGACGTTCCTGCTGGTGTTGGGAGCAGGCCGCCAGAACCTGTGTAGCTCATGGATGTTGGGTCGCTGCTCTGTGCGCTGGTAGCAGCCTGAAAACAACAAACCAAGTTAAGACCAGACACGACTAGACAGAACTGCAGGACATAATTCAACTTCAAACAAGTCTTTTCTGTATTAACTGCCACCTTTGCTAGCAGGTGATATTAATATATATAATATATGGCAAATGAACAAAAATATTCTTGTTCAATGAAAAGAATAACAACTGAACAAAAGTTGAAATGAAGTCTTTGTAACACATTTATCTATGTCTGCCACCAGTCCACTTACTAAGAAGAGAAGGTCATATGATTGACATAAAACCACAAAAGACGTCATGGTAGGCATGTATGGAATTGAGAATATTCCCAATAAAGAAAGCTAGTAACAGAGCTGATTTGTCTTTCTTTCAAAGAACACTTGAGTGTGTGTCAGCTTCGTGAAGACTTCTTAACAAACTATATATCATGGCATGATGGCAAACAGTGGACAATGATGCGGGTATCAGAAGCTTACAACTTTGGAGTCACACACAAGCACAAATCTGGCACAAAGATATACTGCAGGAAACACAATGTTTATGGAGGATTGCACGGAGCATCTTCCCATCCTGAGGAGGAAACACAATGTTTATGGAAGACAGCAGGGAGCATCTTCCCATCCTGAGCAGGGGAGCATCTTCCCCATCCTGAGGAGGAAACACAATGTTTATGGAGGACAGCAGGGAGCATCTCCCCATCCGAGGAGAAAACACAATCCTGAGGAGGAAACACAATGTTTATGGAGGACAATGTTTATGGAGGACAGCAGGAGCATCTCCCCATCCTGAGGAGGAAACACAATGTTTATGGAGGACAGCAGGGAGCATCTCCCCATCCTGAGGAGGAAACACAATGTTTATGGAGGACAGCAGGGAGCATCTCCCCATCCTGAGGAGGAAACACAATGTTTATGGAGGACAGCAGGGAGCATCTCCCCATCCTGAGGAGGAAACACAATGTTTATGGAGGACAGCAGGGAGCATCTTCCCATCCTGAGGAGGAAACACAATGTTTATGGAGGACAGCAGGGAGCATCTCCCCATCCTGAGGAGGAAACACAATGTTTATGGAGGACAGCAGGGAGCATCTCCCCATCCTGAGGAGGAAACACAATGTTTATGGAGGACAGCAGGGAGCATCTTCCCATCCTGAGGAGGAAACACAATGTTTATGGAGGACAGCAGGAGCATCTGTTCCTGAGGAGGAAACACAATGTTTATGAGGACATCTTCAGAGGAGCATCTTATGGAGGACAGCCATCCTGAGGAGGAGAAACACAATGTTTATGGAGGACAGCAGGGAGCATCTTCCCATCCTGAGGAGGAAACACAATGTTTATGGAGGACAGCAGGGAGCATCTCCCCATCCTGAGGAGGAAACACAATGTTTATGGAGGACTGCAGGGAGCATCTTCCCATCCTGAGGAGGAAACACAATGTTTATGGAGGACATCAGGGAGCATCTTCCCATCCTGAGGAGGAAACACAATGTTTATGGAGGACAGCAGGGAGCATCTCCCCATCCTGAGGAGGAAACACAATGTTTATGGAGCATCTTCCCATCCTGAGGAGGAAACACAATGTTTATGGAGGACAGCAGGGAGCATCTTCCCATCCTGAGGAGGAAACACAATGTTTATGGAGGACAGCAGGGAGCATCTTTATGGAGGACCCATCTTCCCATCTGAGGAGGAAACACAATGTTTATGGAGGACTGCAGGGAGCATCTCCCCATCCTGAGGAGGAAACACAATGTTTATGGAGGACAGCAGGGAGCATCTTCCCATCCTGAGGAGGAAACACAATGTTTATGGAGGACTGCAGGGAGCATCTTCCCATCCTGAGGAGGAAACACAATGTTTATGGAGGACAGCAGGGAGCATCTTCCCATCCTGAGGAGGAAACACAATGTTTATGGAGGACAGCAGGGAGCATCTCCCCATCCTGAGGAGGAAACACAATGTTTATGGAGGACAGCAGGGAGCATCTCCCCATCCTGAGGAGGAAACACAATGTTTATGGAGGACAGCAGGGAGCATCTCCCCATCCTGAGGAGGAAACACAATGTTTATGGAGGACAGCAGGGAGCATCTCCCCATCCTGAGGAGGAAACACAATGTTTATGGAGGACAGCAGGGAGCATCTCCCATCCTGAGGAGGAAACACAATGTTTATGGAGGACAGCAGGGAGCATCTCCCCATCCTGAGGAGGAAACACAATGTTTATGGAGGACAGCAGGGAGCATCTTCCCATCCTGAGGAGGAAACACAATGTTTATGGAGGACAGCAGGGAGCATCTGTCCCATCCTGAGGAGGAAACACAATGTTTATGGAGGACAGCAGGGAGCATCTTCCCATCCTGAGGAGGAAACACAATGTTTATGGAGGACAGCAGGGAGCATCTGCAGCAGGAGCATCTTCCCATCCTGAGGAGGAAACACAATGTTTATGGAGGACAGCAGGGAGCATCTTCCCATCCTGAGGAGGAAACACAATGTTTATGGAGGACAGCAGGGAGCATCTTCCCATCCTGAGGAGGAAACACAATGTTTATGGAGGACTTCCCAGCAGGGAGCATCTTTATGGAGGACCCATCTCTGGGAGGAGGAAACACAATGTTTATGGAGGACAGCAGGGAGCATCTTCCCATCCTGAGGAGGAAACACAATGTTTATGGAGGACAGCAGGGAGCATCTCCCCATCCTGAGGAGGAAACACAATGTTTATGGAGGACAGCAGGGAGCATCTCCCCATCCTGAGGAGGAAACACAATGTTTATGGAGGACAGCAGGGAGCATCTCCCCATCCTGAGGAGGAAACACAATGTTTATGGAGGACTGCAGGGAGCATCTCCCCATCCTGAGGAGGAAACACAATGTTTATGGAGGACAGCAGGGAGCATCTCCCCATCCTGAGGAGGAAACACAATGTTTATGGAGGACAGCAGGGAGCATCTCCCCATCCTGAGGAGGAAACACAATGTTTATGGAGGACAGCAGGGAGCATCTCCCCATCCTGAGGAGGAAACACAATGTTTATGGAGGACTGCAGGGAGCATCTCCCCATCCTGAGGAGGAAACACAATGTTTATGGAGGACAGCAGGGAGCATCTCCCCATCCTGAGGAGGAAACACAATGTTTATGGAGGACTGCAGGGAGCATCTCCCCATCCTGAGGAGGAAACACAATGTTTATGGAGGACTGCAGGGAGCATCTCCCCATCCTGAGGAGGAAACACAATGTTTATGGAGGACAGCAGGGAGCATCTTCCCCCATCCTGAGGAGGAAACACAATGTTTATGGAGGACTGCAGGACAGCACAATGTTTATGGAGCATCTTCCCATCCTGAGGAGGAAACACAATGTTTATGGAGGACAGCAGGAGCATCTCCCCATCCTGAGGAGGAAACACAATGTTTATGGAGGACAGCAGGAGCATCTTCCCATCCTGAGGAGGAAACACAATGTTTATGGAGGACAGCAGGGAGCATCTCCCCATCCTGAGGAGGAAACACAAGGAGGAAACACAATGTTTATGGAGGACAGCAGGGAGCATCTCCCCATCCTGAGGAGGAAACACAATGTTTATGGAGGACTGCAGGGAGCATCTCCCCATCCTGAGGAGGAAACACAATGTTTATGGAGGACAGCAGGGAGCATCTCCCCATCCTGAGGAGGAAACACAATGTTTATGGAGGACAGCAGGGAGCATCTCCCCATCCTGAGGAGGAAACACAATGTCTATGGAGGACAGCAGGGAGCATCTCCCCATCCTGAGGAGGAAACACAATGTTTATGGAGGACTGCAGGGAGCATCTCCCCATCCTGAGGAGGAAACACAATGTTTATGGAAGACTGCAAGGAGCATCTTCCCATCCTGAGGAGGAAACACAATGTTTATGGAGGACTGCAGGGAGCATCTCCCCATCTTTTGGAGGAAAACAGTTTATGGAGGACGTACCTGGTAGTTGGCCAAGGCATGCACGAGGCTGGACCCATTGCTGCCATTACTGCTGCTGTTCTGAGAGCCGGAAGACAGAGGCTGAATCAACAACACAATCATGTCACTTAGGAAAAATGTATTGATTGGGATAAAAATGTCATTTATACTTATCCTGACCCATACTAATTGCTTATCTCATCACATTTACAAATGGTAGTGCTAGTGTTCCCTAGAACAGAAAAACATCTCACCCAAACACACCCCAAGCCTCTTATGCTCACCCGAAGCACTTGACCCAGCCAGTGACTAGTCACTCTCTCATTTTCGCTTAACCCTATCAGTCAGAGTCCGAAACTGGATAAGTAAAAATATATATATCTTACCTATCCTGACTCATACTAATTGCTTGAATCCCACAGTAGGTGGTGGGATCCACCATTTGTGTGATTCAGATCGATAATTTGTTCTTCATGGTCCCATTAGGAATGTATTCTTCTTTCTTCTGGTCATCTGCTTCTTTTAGTGGCCAATTATCAAACACTTGAGAGAGTGAATCGCATTGATTCTGTATATTTGGTAAGCACACTTAGAATTAGATTCCAGCAAACTTTTTTCTTCTTTTTTTAAAAGTATTTTTATTTCCCAAAGTACATTTGTTGTTGTCATATTACATTGTACAAAACATCAGCATCATCAATGTCACACAAGCATCAACATCATATAAGCATCATCATCATCTAAAAAACATCATCATCATATATTCAGGGGTTAATGTCTTACCAGGATTTACATATTGAATTAACTGTAATATGACTGCTATCTTTACCCAAGGCTAATATGTACACAAAGGTTCAGATATACTGTCAATTGCGTTATATTTAAATAACATCTAAATTGGTGTATTTAGCAAAAAGTGTATGGAAGGAGGACCAGAAAGCAAAGAATTTTGCTGGGTTTGCATTAGAGAATGCTGTATATTTGGTCGCTTTATAGTAGTTGAGTATTTCCCTTTGAAGCACTTTAAAATCTGGCTTTATATTATTTAAGCTTATTTTATATAACATATATTTCACAATTAAAAACACCAGATTAAGTGGGTTATTGTTTTTACCTTTGAAACCAAAGATAATATTTTCGTGCGACAAGTTGATATTTCCAGCTAACTTTTGAATGATCTGTAATCTTACACAATCATACATCACTCATGCTCTGATTTCTTATGAAAAGTGGTCTCAGTTAAAGTTATGATCGTTAAGCAGTAACCTGACTTCTACGAGTCTGTTTGATTAGGGTGAGAGTCCGAATGACGCATACCCTCCACATCCTCAGTTGTGAAGTCTCTGAGGTAATGATTGGCACTGTCTGAGTTCGAAACATCCTTCCTTGATGGTAGGCATTGAGCAATTACTATGTAGCGCTGTAGAGAGGGATGAAGACTCGCCTTAACTTCTGACATCTGGTACTCATTCTACGTAGATAGATGTATAGGGCTCTGACTGGACAGTGATAAGTCTTCCTTGTCTTCATTCCTATCATCTTCATATTGAAGATAATGTGAAACTGTCAGTCTGCTGATGCTTCTCTGCTGGAGTAGCCTCGTTTGGTCAAGTTCCTCTCGATATGCTCCATACGTGCAGATCAAAGACCCCTAGATTTGGATGATTCTGCTTCCAGTGAAGATGAGTGAGAAGGTTTGACCAATCAGGAAGTTTTAGAACCGCACTGCCTGCTAGCTTGGTGAGGTCTGGAAACCACATCCCTACTGGCCAATAAGGAGCGACCAAAACCAGTAACAGGTGATTGGTCTGACTGATCTTCTGCAGTACTAATGGTACGCAAGCACTGGAGTTTCCACTACCATTTGGAAATAAAGAGAGATAAGCAATTAGTAGGAGTCAGGATAAGGTAAATTTGTATTTCACAAAACCCTTGAAAATCAATAATCATATCCCTTATTGGTCATGTGAATGCTACAGCAAAGAGAGAGTTTAGTTTTACGCCACTTTTAGCAATATTCCAGCAATATCACGGCGGGGGACACCAGAAATGGGCTTCACACCCTATAGCAAAGATGAATGTTCGGCATTTACAATGAGTGATGAGAGAGAGCGAAGTTACCTGTAGGTAGTGTTCTGAGAACTGCTTCTGTTGGCCATATTCAGTAGGCTCCTGCAATGTACATCACATAGAGTGAGTGATATTCCAGCTATATGGTGGCAGTCTGTAAATAATCGAGCCTGGACCAGACAATCCAGTGATCAACAACATGAGCATCGATCTACGCAATTGGGATACATCACATAGAGGAGTAGAAATTCAAATTGGGAACACACACCGACAAGGACATAATTGTCATCATTCGGCAGATGGTCATAGCTGACTAAAAGTCAGGAAACTTAGTAATATGTATGGTATTTCCACAAGGTTTCCAGGAATTTAAATGTAAAAAAAAGTAAGTCAAGACAAAGTTATTCCCATTTATGTGAAGCTTCAGGGAGAAATTGCATGGAAATCAAACAAGGCTTGTTTCTATATCTCCCTCTAGTTTACAATTCTAGCCATCAACTTGTCAACTAGTTGCTAATAACACACTTCACACTCACCACATATCCTGAGTCATCAAAGTTGACGCCATTTCCACTCCAAAAACCTGCATCCCCACCAACACCCTTCGGGTGACTGAAGACAGACTTGGAAAGGTGTGTGCCCAGAATGTTGCCAAAATCTTTTAAACCCAACCCTTGTAGACCAGATGGTGGTTCCCCCAGCAGCGAAGACTTAGCTCCAGGTTCATGGCTACTTGTCTTCAGTAATGCAGGGGCAAGTGCACTAGGCAGAGTCTGTGCGATGCTGTTACCATCAGATGTATTACCCATCATTGACTTTCCCAGGGGACCATTTCTCATACTGGAACTGGCTACAGGATTTGGGTTCGGTAACAATCCTTCCTTCCCCTTGTTTGAAGGCTGAGCTGTGAGCACTGGCTGATCAATTCCTTCACTCTGCTTACTGTTCATTGAAAACATTACTTGACCAAGGCTCATCAGCAGATTCAGGTTAAGATTTTTTACATTCTGTAAATTGTTCTGGAAAAATTGTGCATCTTTGGGATCTGCAGTTGATGTGAAGTCTGTTTGAATGGGCATGTGAGGTTTGGGCATGGTTGGATTTTGTGTGGTTGAGGCATGGGGTGGTCTTAGCTGAACTAACAAACTTTGCAACAACATATTGGCACGTGCTATCATTGGGTCTCCGAGAAGTGAGGGCTTGCTGCCTACAGAATTGTTCTGAAATAAAAGAAGAAAAAAAATGTATGTCTTCAGTGCCATTAGTCAATATTCACACCTTTTTCTAATATAATGAAACGATGACAACAATACATATGTTACAGTAAGTGTATGAGTGATTAAGATATTTAATTCTCGTTTAAGAATATTATAGCATTGGACACTTGAATTGGCCTTCTACTCTAACTACACAGGGGATCAGTCCTGGGCCTATGACATGTAGAGTGAATACTTTAACTGCTAGGCTACCCCAATGAATCCCACTTGCAGATCAGAATAGGGACATCTTGTGTTTTACTGTTAATCTGTACAGTTAGACAATGAACATACCTGAGTATCAGTTTGTTGACCGAGCAGATTCAGCTGTCTTGCCAGGGGTCCTGTGAACTGTTACAAAGACATGTTTATCATTTTGCCCTAAATGTTATAAATAGAACAACAAAAAACAACAACATTCTAATATGCCTCAATGACAATTCATGGCATTATAATATGTGTGTCACTAAAATCAACTGATAATAACTTATAAACCTCTTGTGACATCACCTTATTGTTATCCAAAAAGATTCACACCTAGACAACTAGGGGTGGTACAACATGTGGGAGATCATATATATATCATGACACAAACATCTGACTGTAACCCTTCTGACCACTGACACCATCATAAGAGATGAAAGTCATACTCTGGAGTCTTATCAGTGTCACTACCTGCCGTGGTTGTGCCTGCATATATACAGTTATGAAAATACCTTCAGTGGCTGTTGTGCCTGCATACATAGCACTATGAGGAGGAGATCATACCTGCTGTGGCTGTTGTGCCTGCATACGTAGGGCTATGAGGAGAGATCATACCTGCTGTGGCTGTTGTGCCTGCATACGTAGGGCTATGAGGATGAGATCATACCTGCTGTGGCTGTTGTGCCTGCATGCATTAGGGGCTATGAGGAGGAGATCATACCTGCTGTGGCTGTTGTGCCTGCACAATGAGGGGGCTATGAGGAGGAGATCATACCTGCTGTGGCTGTTGTGCCTGCATACGTAGGGCTATGAGGAGGAGATCATACCTGCTGTGGCTGTTGTGCCTGCATACGTAGGGCTATGAGGATGAGATCATACCTGCTGTGGCTGTTGTGCCTGCATACATATCACTATGAGGATGAGATCATACCTGCTGTAGCTGTTGTGCCTGCATACATAGCACTATGAGGATGAGATCATACCTGCTGTGGCTGTTGTGACTGCATATCACGTAGGGCTATGAGGAGGAGATCATACCTGCTGTGGCTGTTATGCCTGCATACATAGTGCTATGAGGAGATCATACCTGCTGTGGCTGTTGTGTCTGCATATGAAGGGCTATGAGGAAATCATACCTGCTGTGGCTGTTGTGCCTGCATACGTAGCACTATGAGGATGAGATCATACCTGCTGTGGCTGTTGTGCCTGCATACATAGGCTATGAGGATGAGATCATACCTGCTGTGGCTGTTGTGCCTGCATACATAGGGCTATGAGGATGAGATCATACCTGCTGTGGCTGTTGTGCCTGCATACGTAGGGCTATGAGATCATACCTGCTGTGGCTGTTGTGCCTGCATGAGGATGAGATCATACCTGCTGTGGCTGTTGTGCCTGCATACGTAGGGTTATGAGGATGAGATCATACCTGCTGTGGCTGTTGTGCCTGCATACGTAGGGCTATGAGGATGAGATCATACCTGCTGTGGCTGTTGTGCCTGCATACGTAGGGCTATGAGGAGGAGATCATACCTGCTGTGGCTGTTGTGCCTGCATACGTAGGGCTATGAGGAGGAGATCATACCTGCTGTGGCTGTTGTGCCTGCATACGTAGGGCTATGAGGATGAGATCATACCTGCTGTGGCTGTTGTGCCTGCATCAATGAGGGGCTATGAGGAGGAGATCATACCTGCTGTGGCTGTTGTGCCTGCATAATGGCTGGGGCTATGAGGATGAGATCATACCTGCTGTGGCTGTTGTGCCTGCATACGTAGGGCTATGAGGATGAGATCATACCTGCTGTGGCTGTTGTGCCTGCATACGATAGGGCTATGAGGATGAGATCATACCTGCTGTGGCTGTTGTGCCTGCATGCATACGTAGGGCTATGAGGATGAGATCATACCTGCTGTGGCTGTTGTGCCTGCATAATGTGGGGCTATGAGGAGGAGATCATACCTGCTGTGGCTGTTGTGCCTGCATGTGGCTGTTGTGCCTGCATGGGGGCTATGAGGAGGAGATCATACCTGCTGTGGCTGTTGTGCCTGCATACATAGGGCTATGAGGATGAGATCATACCTGCTGTGGCTGTTGTGCCTGCATACGTAGGGCTATGAGGATGAGATCATACCTGCTGTGGCTGTTGTGCCTGCATACATGTAGCACTATGAGGATGAGATCATACCTGCTGTGGCTGTTGTGCCTGCATACATAGTGCTATGAGGATGAGATCATACCTGCTGTGGCTGTTGTGCCTGCATGTGGGGCTATGAGGATGAGATCATACCTGCTGTGGCTGTTGTGCCTGCATATGTAGGGCTATGAGGATGAGATCATACCTGCTGTGGCTGTTGTGCCTGCATGCATGATAGGGCTATGAGGATGAGATCATACCTGCTGTGGCTGTTGTGCCTGCATACATAGTGGGCTATGAGGGAGCTATGAGGAGAGATCATACCTGCTGTGGCTGTTGTGCCTGCATCACGTAGGGCTATGAGGAGGAGATCATACCTGCTGTGGCTGTTGTGCCTGCATCACGTGAGGGCTATGAGGAGGAGATCATACCTGCTGTGGCTGTTGTGCCTGCATCACGTGAGGGCTATGAGGAGGAGATCATACCTGCTGTGGCTGTTGTGCCTGCATCATGAGGGGCTATGAGGATGAGATCATACCTGCTGTGGCTGTTGTGCCTGCATACGTAGGGCTATGAGGATGAGATCATACCTGCTGTGGCTGTTGTGCCTGCATACGTAGGGCTATGAGGAGATCATACCTGCTGTGGCTGTTGTGCATGCATACACGTAGCACTATGAGGATGAGATCATACCTGCTGTGGCTGTTGTGCCTGCATACGTAGGGCTATGAGGATGAGATCATACCTGCTGTGGCTGTTGTGCCTGCATACGTAGGGCTATGAGGAGGAGATCATACCTGCTGTGGCTGTTGTGCCTGCATACGTAGGGCTATGAGGATGATAAGTCCCAGCTGCATGTTGGGGTTCATAATTGGGCTCATGGGTGGGTATGGAGCCGGGCCAAGCAGTCCTGTAACAAACATCATAATCCTGCATAAAAATATTAAAGGTCACATGCAACGTAAAACACAACTTTGCAGTTTCTGATACCTTTCGGTATGGACTTACCGAAACAAATCATCAAAAATGCAAATTCAACTTATAAAGTTGAAACATAACGCGATGGAAAAAAACACGCGAAATCGTAGTTCAAACGATTCACTAATTTTACCCCAGCGCTTGGGGGCAGTGAAATAGGTTGGAAGCGGGTGGTCAGGTGAATATTCGGTGAAGGCTTTAGTATGAGCTAATTTTCTAATGTTTTGTTGACATTTCACAGGCGCGAGCTTTTCATATGTTATGACAGTAGATTACCGATTTAACTGTTTATATAATTTCATTTGTCTATTTCACCACACGTTCTTCTTACCGAGTCACTTTCTCAGTTCGATACTTAAAAGCAATGTCATTATTTAGTGTTGACAGAATTTCTAACTGTGATATAGCTATGTCGTTGTCACAGACAAAACTCAATGTCTGTTATATTGACATCTATGTGTCTGCCTGCCTGTCTGCTAATGACAATATTCAATACACAACTTGCGATCACTGACCACATGCAATTTGAACTTAACACCTATCAGGCTACACACCATAAACAAAACGCATTGATTTATGGCCCGAGTTCTGTCTCTGTCACATTATGTAATTACACAGACAGGCAGGTGTGAAACTTGTACACATGACATGTTATGATGTCTGTTGATTGCAAAATGTAATACACAAAAAATGAGAATGTATTTACAAAACCCAACATCTCTATATATACACACACAATGAGCCGTGAGGGCATCGGCAAATGAACCAGCCGTTACACTTGAGTGCACACCCACCCGCTCTGACTGGGTTCGGTATCCCGGCTGCTTCGTTTCTTGGGAAGTAAACCCAAGTACAAAATATTGCACTTTTGATTTGCGATTGTACGCTTATAATTTTGTTTATATGTTTTTTCATAATCAGCAATGTATATTATATGTCATGAATAAGTGATAATTGTGTTTTAATTATGTTTGATTTTTTGGTTAAGCAATTTGGCAAAAAATCACTGAGCTTTGAATATATATTACATATCTCATGATGTGATACACAAAATGTGATGGTCTTGTATGCAACCTGTAAAATTCCATTGGACCGGGACTTTTTACAGCACAAATACTTAGCGGGTATATAAATGAGAGAAGTGAGAAACAATGTTTATTAATTGTACAATAAACAGTCAGGGTGGAATTTTGCCTATCAACACTTCCTATCATAGTACAATGTTCTAATACAATTTAACAAGAAGACAAAGTCATATATCCAATATTCTTGGAGCCTATGTCATAATCTGTGTAGTGGGGTAGGATAAGTATTTATAAATATACCATTTCTAGTTAAAATGTTCAAATTTTTAAAACTTATCCAATCTCACATCTTGTACTTATCCCATGGTTGGACTGAGGGTCGCAGACTACCCTGTGTCTATGGAGGATACAACTGTAAACAGGGCTCCAGATAATTTTTCAACATCAGGAGTACGTACTCCTTATTTGTTCAATACTGAGTACTGGAAAACCTTAAGTGTACATTTAGAGTACTGAATGGAAGTTAATGGACTATCAGTAATCTTGTTTCGTTTCATATATGCACCACAACATTGCTACTCTTGTGTAAACAGGTCAATAAACAATAAAACAATACTTTTTTCAGATAAATACGTCTGTACATGATTCTAAGACCGTACACCATTGCTGTGGTGTGTATCTGCTACGTGTGCTAAATTATTTCCTACCGTATCGTGCATATTTTTTATCCGTACATACGCCGATACGGCCCTTATCTGGAGCCCTGTTTAAAGATGTAATGGCGAGGCACAAGGAGGCCTGTTGTGAGCACAATCTACTCATAACAGGCTTCCTCAGCACAAACTCTCCCAGGGAGTGGGCACTACCCAGTAAATGTGGTTTTCCTCCATACATTTGTCCAAAGACAAATGCAGAACTCAGCAAATGCCTTGCCTCGCCCCGATTTCCAGAAATCCCAGTAAATTAAAGTCTTACGACCCTAATCTGGCCAGTCATGGCTTCGAAACCATCTCCCAGATTACACACAAAGGTGTCGTATGCTCAAATACTTTTAACATTCAGTTCCTAACAACATCAAATGACTCTCGCTCATACGCATCGAAATACACTGGAATTCGGTATTCACACTTCAATGACGTATGAATATGATTACACAATGCCATTTAGAAAGTGGTCAAACGTAACATATGTTATATTTGGGATTACACTTTCTTAGTAAAGTAGAGATTCTAGTACTTTTTGGGTTGAGTCCCCATCCGGGATTCGAACCCACACCCTCAGAGTCAGGCACCTAATTAATCGCCAGCACGGAAAGTCAGCCGCCTAACTCGCTCAGCCACTTCCACACTGAGCATAATTGTTCGAAGAGTAGAGGTCAGTAAGCACGAGTGTCGATTGCCTCTGCAACATAGTACAGGACTGACCTCTCAGTCTATGATGAAGTCGCTCAACAGTGACTGTACTGCAATGCCCTGGCATGAAGTTAGGTGAGGTAGATCTATGCCCAAGGTAAGTAGAACAAAGATGAAGAGGAGTTCATACATCTTTATTAGCTATGTACAAGGTAACATAGATTCAGCAAACGGAGGACGTTCCTATTTGGGTTGTCAGGCCGAAGACAGCTGCTGCGCCAATACCATGGGACCAAACTGGTGAAGCCCCTCAACGTCAATCACTGATTGGTCACGTAGATGGTGGGAAGCGAAGACTGTTTCTGACTTCCAAAAGCACCCCTCTATGATTGAAGTTGCAGTTGCTGTGAAGAGTCATCGTAGACGCTAAGGCCTGAGTCTCCTGAGGGTTCGACCCAGCTGGAGATGGAAGACCTGCGTGGGTACAGGCTTGCAGGATCGCCGATCTGATAAAAATGCCAAGGTAGTTCGGGAGATTTCCGCTGATGAGGCTGTAGAGAGTGGGATAAACAGGCACTTGCGCAACCTGCGATGATCCAGTGAGGCAGCAATGTAGATCTTTAAAGCTGGAACTGGGCAGAGCGAGAGATCTTGTATGCTTGTAAGAGTCCCATCGAAGACCCAGCAAGAATTGTTACGTGCTTCTCGTACCCGGTTAACATCCAGTGCGTGGAGATCTGACATACAAGCAGCAGTAAATAAGGTTACTAGGAAGAAGGTCTTGAAAGTGATTAACTTGAAGTCCTTCTCATCTAGCGGTTCATAGTCAATGGAGACAAGGTGTTGAAGGAAGATGGAGAGGTTCCAGGTCGAAGTGTTGATAGCTGCGAGGTAAGTAGCTAGAGTAGACGCCTTCAGTTTTTTAGCCATACACTAAGATATTCAGCAACAATCTGGGTGGATGCTGTAGTAGGAGACACTATGCCCTTCACTCAGCAGTAGTCTTCAAACTACTTCCACCTGTCATCACAGAGTGAAGGTGTGGAATTACGATGAGCTGAAATGATTGCCGAAGCAACTCGTCTTTTGCGAGTATCCTTTGGCGATCAATGATTTTGTCGAACCTAAATGTCAACCTGGAAGCGTCAATGGAGGCACTGAAATGGTCTGCAAACAGAGATTTCACTGACAAATGATCCAAGGCTCTTGAGACAGACGGAGATGAAAGTTGCCATCACTGTCAGGTCTGGAGCTTCCGTTGAAGAAGGGATCGTCGCAACTGATCGGTTTGTAAAGGACTCTCGTAGGTTTGGCGTACGCTGCACCACCACCACTACTCTAGATGAAACTGGGGAAATTAGGGATTCAAAGGGAAGAACTTCTATACAGCATGTCTGCGACAAGAAAGAGAATGACTACACAAAGGAGTCACATGATTTAAGTGTGCCATTTCAATTTTCATGTGTGCCATAACTTCATGGTCTATTAAACTGAACTTCAAAAGATTACAACACTTGAAGTGAAGGATTTGACGTGAATGTCAAAGTTATAATTGCATTGTAACCATCACTAATAAATCATGAGTAATAAAGCAATGCTTGGTAAGTATTTTTGCTTATTTACTGACCTTTAAAAGACATTGATGGTGTATGACCTGTACACTTTATCATTAGTCACTGTACCCCTGATTTGGTAGAAATATTTATCTGGCAACAATGAGTGATGAAGGCTGTCCAATCATGCAACACAACTTTAATGGCACGTGATCTATGGTTAGCCTAGATCATGTGCTCTTAATATTTACTGGAATTTTCGCTTCAATATCAAAGGCATGTCCTTTCTCAAACAATCCATTCAGATTCAGTGGGGAGTAATGATAAAATCTGTAAATGTTCTGAAGTGTTGTGTCAAAGTTTGTCTGCAAGGGGCTGTTTTTACATGTATCTTTGCTAGCAAATTCCACCCAATGTGCAACACAAGGGATTGCTATTACATGAGGCCCATCTCGCTTAGTTTGGCAGCTACTCCACCCTATTTACCCATCATACCCAAAGCTACAATATTGTCTTCCAGTCCTCAAAACATCCTACTTCCACTAGACCTTCATTTATGGCTGAATATATTCCATTTGCATCAGCCTTTTCCACTCTCCTCACACACAGGTATCTAGTCACAGGTTTAATTTCAGTTTGTTCAATGTATCTCAGATATATGACTTCTTCCTCTCACAGAAGAGTCTGTGCTGCCATCATAAATTACACTGAAAAAGCCACTTTTTCACATCACCCATAATGTCATTTGTCAAATGTTTGGCTATAATTTCAATAAAGATCTTGGCTTTCTTGTCACTAACATAATTGGAAGTCAAATCTACATCAAAGTTCATACTTTGAATTGAGAGTAGTTGTTGAAATTCTGTGAATGGCATTTTCCTTTGAGCAAGGTGGAATGCACTTGGGAAAAGTGTACATAAATGTTCTGTCTCTTTCTCATTCAAAAGTCACTATTCCTTTCTCCAATGTTCACTATTCACTTTGTGTGCTTTCGAGTTACCCTACAATAAACTGATTGACTTTTCCATCCTTGCCAACTTGCCTTCCGAATTCACAACAAATTCAACAGAAAATCTTTCAGTCTGTCACACTCCAAGCCAAGCCAATCTTTGTACTTATCAGACGGCCAGTTCTAAGGAATCCGTCTATTTTTAACTATTTTTTCACGCTGCCTACAGTGCTGTCAGTTTCATTACCCAACGTACTTTCGCTTTCAACTTCTAAACTTCATTTTCCTTTTGATGTATTTCAAATAGAATCAGATTCTCTAGACTTGAAGTTTCTGAATTTTTTACAAATCTTCTGTTGTTCCATGATCGGAAACAATTAAAACCTCAATTTCCATTTATTTCTATCAAACACGAGTCACTGTCATGCTCACATATCATCTGCTTCCAAGATTACCCATAATGCAGTTTGGACACGCGCAGTAATCATAAAAATGGCCGCGCCCATACAATGTTTACATTGCCGTTTCCTGAGAAAGTAATTTCACAATTTGTTTTGACCTTCACATTGAATCATGAAAGATAATAACGGTGATCGCAAGGAAGGCAACAGGAAAATCTATTTTCAGCAGAAAACTTAATATTGTGTCATCGAATGCAGGGTTCAATCACACAATTTATAACCAATTTAGAGATAAAATTGTCGGAAATCCGCGGATTGGCGGAAAATTGCCATCCCTGCATAAGGGCATGCAGGTAAGAGTTTAACCGTACCATTTGTTTTTAGCCGTGCCGTTGGCATGATGGCACTAATAATTTCGAACCCTGATAAGTTTTAAAAAGATATTTTATTCAGAAATCCCAAACTACTAAAAGGCACCAGTTCACCACCAGACCTATCTTTGTGTCATGTTTGGTAAAGAAACATTGAACGGTTTTAAAGTTCTGTTCCAGAAGGACGAATTTGCACAGACGGACGGACAGATTCCAAAATAATACCCCGGCACAACGCGGGAGATACAAATAGAGTGGAAATGAGTGAAATCCATCTTATTTATGCATCTGTAAGGATTTATGGTGCATGATGCATAAAATTATTGCACAGATGAATAGTTGATATTTATTGCAAATTTTTATAATGACTGTATTTTAATTATTATTGAGTCAATAGACTAAATCAAATTGGATATTAGTCTCTCCATTTCGCAATCAGATTTGCTGTTTCATGTGCTACTAGGCACAGGCAAGTGAGGCCTACCAGTCTTTTTTGGAGAAAGAAATCACATACCAGCTTGTTACAAAGCCACCAAAATCTATCTGGAAGACCCACACACCTGTTGATGCAGAGAATATACATACCTGGCTTGGCATTGCGGGACATCACTGAGTTGATGTAGGTCTGGTGAAGCTGATGAAGTGACTTCATAAAGGTTGGGATCACTGTTAGAAACAGAAGGAAGTGTTACACTGTTCATACATTTCAACTTTCTTTAAATGCAAACAGAAACAAAAACACAAAGATTTGTCCAGCGTCAATATATTGAAATGAAATAAACATCACTGCTTAGACCTTAAAACTTTCAAAACTGGCTCAACCAAGTGCTAATTTCTATCAAAGATATATTCAAACACCATTGAACAATATAAAAATCTATAGTATATATGTCACGTGTCAAGTGTCATAATCTGATCAAATGGACGATTAATAAACCAAAATCTCTTTAATAAAATTTGATACCATCTTAATTTACTTAGGGAGGTCACGATCAACGATCCCACATGCTGACAAGGCCAAGTGGATCAGACGAGTAAAAATAGTACTCTTTGTTTTATAGGAGATAAAATCTAAGTAATTCGACATTTGTGATAGGAGTATTGACATGATTACACAAAGTGTGTAAATGGCAATTACTATTGTTGACAAGAAACACATTCTTTACCTACATGGAGTAGGGAGAGAAACAGTTCCCTGTCGGTCAATATAGCATCACAAGTTAAACCATACAAGGATTTCCATGCATAGCTCGTGCAGATGCAAAGTAATCAGAACCAAAAAAATAATTGTACAGGTTTCGGGGTCAGTCAGATATAATCAAGGAAGATACACCTTATCGAAAAATGTATTATTCTTTCATAAAAATGATATTTTATACTTATCCTGACATATTATTTACTTCTCTCCCCGTTCTGCCTGAGGTACAGTGGAAACCTCTGTTTCTATGTTCCTAAGAACAGTAAAAACATCTCACCCGAATGCACCTCCTCCTGCGCATGCACACCAGCACCCCTGAGAATGTGCAGTGTCTCGTCACTCTCTCCATTTTCAAGGCCAAATGAGGTTTTGTGCCAAAATAGTGGAGAGTGGGGACGATTGGGAAAGTTGCGACTATGAGTTAGGATAAGTATAAAATATAATTTTTATCCCCCCAAAATACATATTTTTCCTTATCCTGACTCATACTATTTGCTTGAATCTGACAGAACAGGTGGTGGGGACAGCCACCTAGTTAGGATACATAAATACTATTCATTTTACCCCCTGGGAACTCTTCCATCTTCTTGATGTAGATGAACAGGGTACTCCCTTTTTCTCAAAAAGAAGTAAATCAAAAATCAAAAGATTTTGTGGATTTTAAGATGTGCATGGAATTACATTCCTGCTTGTCTTGGGTCGATCCATATGTTAAGAATAGATTGTAAACCTGGCTTAATCGTATCACTCATGCTCTGATTTCATAGTAAAATATGGACCCTCAGTCGTTGGTTATGGGACAGTAACCTGACTTCAACGAATCTGCGTGATTATGGGTGAGTTCTTATCTTCTTGATGGCACTATCAATTGTTGCGCTACAACCAAGGGAGCGAACCGGTGTATACACACAACATCTTGTGCGGCGATGGCCATAAGATAATAGTTGTGAAGACAGTGTTCGACTTCCGGCGTCATCCCTCCATAATAGATGTGATTGAGCAGTTTCTGTGTAGCACTAGGGTTGACACTATCGCTCTGACTTGGAGGCCCTTGTCAAATCCAGTTCCGCTGTGCCTTGTAAGCTCTCAGAATCACTTTTCTCCTCCAGGATGAGATCGTTGTTCAAGAGACTTCTGCAGAAGCGTTGAGCAATATAGGTTTGAACAGCTTTTTGAACTTCCTTCTTCTTAAGGAACAAACAAACCCTCAGAGCTCTGATCGGGCACATAGATAAGTCTTGTCCCTATGAAAGAGCAGGGATGTGAAACTGTCTGTCAGGCTGTCCTGGAAGTTAGTTCTTTGCTATAAAGTCCCATTTGAGACCCAGATGGACTGCAGCATGTTCATCCATTTTAAATCTTGTTCGACCGAAGTCAATCTAGTGCCAAGAGAAACAGCATCTTCTGAGTGAGCAACTCAAATTCTGCTTGTTGAGGGGGTTCATACACATCACTAGTAAGTTGTTGAAGTCCCATGCTGGTGCTTGGAATTTCCTTCTGTTGATCCTGCAATCTGTAAGACCTCAGAAGTGCGAGGAGCTCATGAACATTGGAGAGTTTTACTCCTGTGTTCATCGTGAGGACAGAACTTATGGCCGCTAAATAAGTGGCTAAAGTAGAGCCTTTGAAATGTCTGGTACTTCTCATATAGCACAAGTATTCTGCAACTTGAGGCGGCCTAGTTGCTGAGATCCCCTTCAGCGATACAAACTGTTCAAAATTCTTCAAATGATGATCAAACAATTCTGGCATATCTTCTCAGTGCTAAGGAGACAGCCTTGGTTGCTCTAGCCGTGTACCCTCTACTGGTAAGGCAGTATGTAATACCTTCATACATGAAACTCAAAGACTTCCGGTTTTGTGTGTGGTTGCCTTGTGTGTGAATGGAGTAGGAAGTTTGGCCAGTTTGGAAGCTTTAGACTTGGTTTTCCTGCTACCACCATCAGATCTGGAAACCATGTTCTCGATGGCCATTAAGGCGCTATCAAAGTCAATCTCAGGTTCCATGTTTGCGTAACCTTTTCTATGACTCTTTGCATTAACACCGGGTGGATGGGACATATATGCATGAAGAACTTCCCAGGATACTTCTAGATGCATTAACAGTCCATACTAATAACATCTTCAAATAAGACAGTCGATGTTCACCATCTGGTAGCTTAGATTCCTTTAATTAGAATTATGTTTAGGTTCGAAGTAAGAACTCTAAACTTCTGTTGATGGCTAGAATGCAGTTTATCAGGCAAAGTGCGCTCGCCGAAAGGCAATTATCACGTTATAGTGAGATCATTATCTCGCTATAATGCTGCATGGTTCACGCTTCACTTTGAAATTTCACAGTGAAGTTGTCGCCCGATGTATAAATTTAATTAAGAGGCGATGGATACCATGCCTGGGGTGTCAACATTTCTAGTGTTGTTGCGCCATTTTCCTTTCATCCTCAGACAATCTCTGTTCGTTCACGGTCTGTGATGAGTTGATCTGAATTGTAACACATACGGTCATCTAAAATGGCGATGAATCCCTTGATGATGAACGGTCATCAAACTGCTAGGGCTATGGCAGTTGTTGAGATTCCCACATATGCAAATCAGGTCTGCGCATGGGCATTGCATTCTGTTGAATGCATAGTCGAAACTCCACATACACAAATTGTTTTCATATAATAATACAGTGAAACTGTATGCCAGCATGGTCGTCTACCGAGTTTCAAAGAACTAACGATGTACCTCCAGTCAATTCCCTGTAGAATGTATGACGTCACCGGTGCATTATCAGGTTGACCTCCATGATATTTGGGGCAATAGATGGTTGACTGAGTGCGTGTGTATGATTTTACGCCGCTTCCGCTATCTTCCAACACCACTTCGGATGATGCCAAAGGGAGCTTCATGTCTTCCGGTCAAATGTTTATATTTCTACTGCATTTTTTGGCTAGAAGTGAGTTGAGGTCTTCTGATAACTTGGTTACTTTATTTCCAAGTAAGATATACTTGGAGGATTGCTGTTAAGCAAGGGTCCTCTCTTAATGTTGAGATATAATGCTTCTGCTTTTATTAGAATCTTTGTCTCGAAGGGATCTCCTCGACTAGTCTAATTTCAAATACATTGTCACTCTCCACTTTCAGGTAATACAGATAATGGCCGTATTTGACCAGTCAGGGTGCAATCTTCCTATAGTTCACAAGCTGACCGCTCACAGCGACAAATGAGGTTCTGCGAAGACAGACAACTGTATGAAGATCTAAGGCTGCATGCAGACCTGAAGCTGCGTGGATGTCTGGGACTGCGGCCTGCATGTAGTTGCATGATGATCTAAAGCTGCGTGCCAGCTTGCATCTACGCAAATATCTTTTCAGAGAGGTTGTGCTAGGCCTGAAGCTGTCTGAAGGATTGGGGCTGTGTGAAGATTCCTTCGCAAATCAATGTCTTGCTCAACGTAAGCATGGCGGTTTACTCAAGAAGCATTCTTAAACTCTGTGAAGACTATTGTTAACAGCTTCATGAAGCGAGTCTTCATCAACTTCACTCATTACTTCTACGTGAAGACCGCGGGTAGTGGTGTCTTGCACAACAGAAACTGTGGTAGTTTTCAGAGATATCAGTGAGCCGGTGTCAATATGGACTTTTTTGTTTGTTGTTGTTGGAATGGTTAATGTGCCAATATCTTCACCTCGATACAATATGTATCTGCAGGAGATAAGTCTCTTGTTGGAGAAGAGATAAGTGGAAAATCGGCATTCCAGGCTAGTAATTCATGACCTTCATAGATATAAGAGTTGTCTTCATCTTGGGAATAATACCTGTTAAATGAAGAGACTATGTATTCAACAGAATGCAATGCCCATGTGCAGATCTGATTTGCATATCATGTGTTATTCTCTTCATCTTGAGTAAAGTTTGGAATATGATATTGTGACACTGTAGACGTTGGTGTTGACTGTGTTGCCGGTTTCTCTGCCCCCATTTGATGATGATGTTGTTTTTGTTGCTGTTGAAAAGCAAGCAAAATGTTTTTTGTGATGTTAGTCACAAAATCTGTTGATTAGCAGATTGAATGCCTCCTTGAGATACACATACCTGAAGGCTGATTGGTGTGTGTAGGGGAGCGTGAAGCTTTGAGCCTGCATGAAGCTTTGAGCCTGCATGAAGCTTTGTGCCTGCGTGAAGCTTTGAGCCTGCATGAAGCTTTGCGGCTGCATGAAGCTCTGGGGACGCATGATGAGGTTGTGTGAAGGTCTGGGGCTGCGTGAATGATTGAGGCTGCGTGAATGACTGAGGTTGTGTGAAGGCGTGAAACCTTGCGGTTATGTGAAACCTTGTGCCTGTTTGGAGCTCTGTGAAGCTCAGATGCTGCGTAAAGGGCTGAGACTGCATGAAGAGTCCCTTTGAAGACACTCTAGAGTGTAGAGGCTGCGCTGAAGACTGTACTACTACCATTTCAGGTTCTAAAACTGGTGAACCCTTCACGAACGTCTTATCATCGCACGATGCGTGTAGGTCTCATTTTCATCTGTCAGCTTAGGTGGAATAAGTGCCCCTGATGTTATTGTAGAAGTTCGCTTCCTTGTAGATATCTTCTTTAGCTTAGCAAGCTTTTTCAGACTCTCATATTCGCCATTACCTCCGTATTGACTAAGTCAGCAGGAAAATCCTGCAATGGAATCTCCTCTGTTGACTGAAAAGAATCCATATTAACATCATGTGAAAGTATATTGTCCACAGGGACTGTAATGGAACATACTTATGTTCAGCCATATACTTGGTTGTCTTGTCTCTGGGTGTAGAAGACTGTGACAATGCCCTGGAGTTTTCACTCCTTTTGCGTTGTAAGGCAAATGAGTAACATGCAAAGTTGTTGTCCCCTAAGGGGGTGCAGAAACTACATTTAGAACTTAAATTGCATTTGTAATTGATGCATGAGGGACAAGCAGGGTGTGGTTCATGGTTGGAGACTCTCAATTTACAGAAAAAGCATGTTTTCATGTGACCCACAAACTTTCACAACGATTGAAAAATATGGTTAAGTAATTCCAAATTTTGGACAAATAATTCATGGTTATGATGCATAAAGGTTATATGAAGTAAATCCAAGCATTAATTTTGATGGATGACTTATTATAAAAGATGATTGGCTTGGATTAGACAACAGAGGAACTTTCCCCCATCCGCCGTGCGAAAATGGAGAGTGACCCCTGCACAGTCAAATGGGTGCTGGCTCCGATTTCTCGAAACAAACTTAAGTTTTTACTCAAATTTAAAACTGAGTTTAACAATTTGAAACAGCTGAATTTTTAACTCAACTGCATTTTTAAAATACAAAAGCCCAAAAAACTTAAGTAATCTATCCACCAAACAAAAATTGTCTACTAAGTTTTAGTTTAATATCGATTTCAGTTCTTTCTGGAAAATGCATTTTGATGCGTTTTCTCAAATTTGAGTAAAAACTCTATCTTAAGTCAAAACTCAAACTTAAGTTTATTTCGAGAAATCGGGGCCTGGTGCGCATGCGCGGGAGGAGGTGTCTTCAGATGAGATGTTTTTACTGTTCTTGGGAACATAGAAACAGATTTTTCCACTGTATCTCGAGCAGAAAAGGGAGAGAAGCAAATAATATGAGTCAGGACAAGGACAAATATATAAATGCTGAGAAAAACATTTCATGAATCTTGTAACCAAAAGCAGCTAACACAAGAAATTATGTAAGAAACTGAATGCAAATTAGAGATCTGAAAACTGATTTTCATTGGGAACATATCATTAACAACGTGATGAATACCTAAGAGCTACTATCGTTCTTCGAACTGGAGTGAGTGAGTGAGTGAGTGAGTTTAGTTTCACGCTGCACTCAACAATATTCCAGCTATATGGCAGTGGTCTGTAAATAATCGAGTCTGGACCAGACAATCCAGGGATCAGTAGCATGAACATCGACCTAAGCAATTGGGATACGATGACATGTGTCAACCCAGTCAGCGAGCCTGATCACCAGATCCTGTTAGTCGCCTCTTACGACAAGCATGGGTTACTGAAGATCAATTCTAACCCGGATCTTCATTGGTGTCTTCGAACTGGAAGAAGTAATAAGAAGCCCATACGTTCAATGCTTCTATGACTTACAAACATTGTTACAGGTTTCTAAAGGCGCCAAATGTTAATGATCAGCACCTCACAGTGTGCCCTTGATAACCAACACAAGTCAATGATCAAAACAAGACTAAACAGCCAATCAAAGTACAGTTGTGCCAGGCCACACAAGTTATTGACCACAGTATTAGAAAATTGTATGCCGGCTACCATGTGTATTACATTCTCTAGAAAACAAGCCTGTGCCAGCTTTGCTGTGTAGTGATCTACTTACACTGAGGGAACTGGTTAGTAAGCCCCTTGACCAGTGGACTGCTCAGCAGGGCAGGACTCACAAACAGTGGGTCTGGTAGTAGGCTGCTCTTGTTGCTGGGCTCAAACTTCTTGTCCTGGAGCAGAGAACAGTGTTTTCAGTACATGTAGCTTATATCTTACATGATGCTTGAAGGTACATTCACGTTAATCTACTTCTCAACATTAGCGTTGACAACTGTATATCGCATCATTAAAGAGGCACTGCGTATAATGTGACCACCCTGTAAATCCTTCAAAATCGATGCTAATTAAATACCCAAAATTGATAGCAATCTGGAATATGAGCACATCAAGCATACACAATCCCTCTATAAGCATTAAAAAATGTGTTTGCCGTCTGTTGTTTTTCATAAGCTGCTTGGTCGCATAGAACACCAGCACGTCACCATTTCACGTGCTGACACAGTGCAGCAGCATATTAGTGAACGTAAACAAATTGGCTTGTTTTAACTACTGAAATATATTAGACAAAGAAAGTCTGTTTCCTTTAATTTTATTTCACCAATTAGTCTGGGTTAGTGTGTTCATTTTCTGATATACTCCTTCTCCAACACTTGCTAATAGATGATAAAAAGGGAATTGATTTCAGGTTCACTGCATCGGATATCAATACTCTTGTCACTTTACTGATGTTCTCTCAGAGTGGCAGGTTTTCTTCTGTAAAGAGATTTATCAATATCCTGGAAGCAGTGTGTGCTTTAATATTAAAATAGATGGGCATGACACTGCCATCCTGGCAACAATACGGAAGACTGACTGACTGACTGAGTTTGGTTTTACGCCGCTTTTAGCAATATTCCAGCAACATCACGGCGGGGGACACCAGAAATGGGCTTCACCAATACGGAAGACAAAAAGTGGATTGCTGCATCATTTTGAAAAATAATGCATGATGTTCCAAGATCCCCCAACACAAACTTCACACTGATGAAGCATAAGAAGTCAATAAAGACTGAGACCTCCTTATGTAAGAACTTGTGTGTCAGAACTGCAGTATGGGGAATAGCATTGTCATGTTAACATGTCAGTCCGGGGCCATGCAGCTGCATGAGTGGTAGGTGGCAAGACCATATACAAACAACCTACAGACAATTGCTGTGTGTATACCAAAAGAAATGGAAAGGAATTCCCCCCCACCACAATTATCAACAAAACTGTAGGTGTCAAGTTTCAAATTTTGTTGAGTATAAAAGGGAATGGAGGGCTGAACTGGTCCTAATGAGTGAGTCTGTGTCCTTTGAATAACAAATATTAGCATGCACTGGGTGCAAGTTGACATAAATATGAGGCTGCATCTTGCGTTTTCAGGTTGCACTAGTGCAAGCACTAAAAGCTTAAAAACAAAGTCAAATGAATCTTAGTTGAAGATTTCAAAATGAAAGCCTTCAATAAATAGTATGAATATTATGAATATTTAACAAGGTCTACAAGGGCACAGTTATTTTTGCACATTTAGCTCGAACTCGAACTCGGTCTCCGTCTAACTGCCTCAAACCAGCTTAGGGTCTGACATTTCAGACCATATCCTACACAGAGTTCCTGGTTGTTGAACAGTTGCATAGAGTGTAATGCCATTGCTAACATTTGATCTTGTGTCTTTACACCAACACAACTGGTAATGTAATGTGTCATGTATTGCAATACAATGACTGTAAACCTGATATATTGTATCATGCGTCTCTTATTCAGATACAATACCATGTTGCCTTTATCGGTACAGCAGCAGTTACACAGGTGAACAATCATGCCAGTCACTGAAACCTTCCATCTGATGGATGTACAATGTGAACAAAAACTGATACTCATCCCACTGTGTGTTTATAGTCGCTGACTCTCCCATCCAACATGGGCTCATTTTCAATATAAATGAAGCTGTTTGTTTTCCTTTCCATAAATATAAGATGTTAAATGACCGACCAGCCAGTGGTGCAGCTGACTTGGGCTGGATCTACATACCATCTTCCACATGATTCGGTTGTATATGACAACAGCTGGCCGCCCCGGAAGACAGAAGGACAGTGATAGAGGGGTGTCCTTGAGTAAATGACCTTGTAGTTTAATCCAGGTAGCTTCAGCTTCACCGTCTTCACGAAATTCAATGATTCCAAAGCCAAGTGACTTCCCATCTTTCACAGCTATCTGAAAACAAACAGTTTACAGTTAGGACTGAAGATGTCATAGAGGAATGATAACAAAGCCTAACAATTGTCATCTACATGCACAAAAGCGATTACAGTGAAGCCCCGTTAGTCCGGACTCCGATAATCCGGAAGTCTCGCCTCCCAGGCGATTTCAGCTTGTTACCAATCTATGCCTATATAATTTGCCTCGATAATCCGGAAATTCGGTTTCCGGAACCGGACGGTAAGTAGCTGTCACCAATCAGTAAAATAAACAGTAAATTGCTTCACAGTCCGGACACTGTAAGTCGTGTTCACGAACCGTAACAACACCGCCCGGCGATGTTTACTTAATTAACTGGCCAACTGGGTTGTTGTTTTAATTAGACATAAAAAGCTCCCGACTGAAGATACTGTACATTTACACTTTGATTGACACCACAATACAAAGGCGTGGATGACAAGTGAACTGTTTTGTGATTGGTTAATGTACTTTGACAGAGAGATCCGGTCATGTGGACTAAAAGTGATTTTTCTTTACGACAATGCTGCAAGTCACAAGTGTGCTTCGCTAACTTTGCGAAATGTAACCAAATACCACGTCTCATATTCAACCGATGGATGCAGGAATAATTCGGACATTCAAGGCATACTACAATAGATCGCTTGTTAGACATTACCTCACCTGTGCTGAGGAAGGACGTGATCAGACACGTCGGATCAACATGCGGATGTCACTCGGTAAAATTATTGATGTGATGAATTAAGCTTTACATTAAATGCTTATTTGTTTTATCCAGATTCGTGTCGTTTTTGTAATTCTTAGGGAAGCAACTTGGGTCTTGATTCAGTAGTCCGGACTATTCGCAATCCGGACGAATTTACTGAGAAACGCAACCGTCCGGATTAACGAGGCTTCACTGTATATTATAGGCTAAGATCATTGTAAACTACTATTGAAACTTACAATTGGTCCAGACCAATCTTAAGGCCCATAAGATCGTTGTAGTCTGTGACAAAATGTCAAGTCAGGGTCTGTTTCACTCAAGTAATCCACTTTAAGTTCAAAGGTTGCTTTTATATTTTGTTAAAACTGTATGATTCGCCTTGACACTTCAACAACATGGTGAATGCTCCACTGATTTAACATCATAAACATCATTATTTGGGGTAGCTGATATGTAATAGTACTATTCCCACCATTTTCTATGTTGGAAGAAGTGTGACACAACATATCTTTTCAATAATCAAGGAAAGGATAATAACGAAATTTGTCTGCAATGGCTGTGACCTTTTCAATAATTCATCTTAGTTTATACACAAGATGAGACTGACTTCCCTTTGCACAGAGTCAGCCTTGCCCATTGTTTTTAAATGTTGTAACAATGGAGCTCCACATATATTTCTTTTCGTAATTTTGTCTTTGGTTCATAATTAAAATAATCTACAATTAGAAACAAGTTAACAAGCAAACTCAGTTTCCTTCTCATTCTCAAATCTAAAATTGAGTCGGTTGAGAGATGAGGGGTTAAATAATGTAATTTTTATGATAAAATTGATATTTCATACTTATCCTAACTATATTGCTTATCTCCCTTCTCTTTCAACGGTTAAGTGGAAACTTGAATACCTTCCAGTTCCCCTGAAGCGAATGTACAATCACTCACCCTTGAGTTGCCTTTCCCGCCAAAGGCAAGGGAGGCAACTCCAGGGTGGGTGATTGTACGTTCGCTTCAGGGAACTGGAAGGGATTGAAGTTTCCACTTAACCGGAGAAGGAGAAGGGATATAAGCAACATAGCATGAGTCAGGATAAGGAAAAAATTATGTATTTAAAACATATACATGTATTCATCAAACAGGGAAATACACATGATGAAGAAATTGTAATTTGTGTAAACAAAAGCATTTCAAAATACATCTATCAATGTGATAATGTAAATAATTAATGCACAGTGAATAAGTATTTAACAACTCCTCTCTCAAAACATTATTTCTTTTCTTTGTAATTCCTTGTCATACATTCTTCACAACAAAACCTATGCTTCTGGGATATAATTGGGATGTTACAAAAATAATCCCCACCCCACTCCATTCAACAGATTAAACAATGACTCATTGACTATCTATCATACACTTCCGTGTTCATTTAACAGATTAAACAATGACTCATTGACTATCATACACTTCTGTGCTCATTTAGAAGGAAATACTGTTCATATTTCAATTTTCATAATTATAATGTCCAGACCTAAATCTAAGAATATCTTTCAATATTTTCATAAATCATGGGTAGGTATTTCCATGGTTGCAATATCAAACTCACAGTTCCTAATTCTTGACAGTTTTAATGTAACGGTAGGAAACAATATGCTGTCTTCCCAGTAATTGTTTCCTTAAAATATTTGTGAGTGTTTAAGTGTAAGGTGTGAGGGAGGGTGCAGACAATTCTAAATGGGAGTTAAGTTTAAAGATTTTGGTCTTAGTTAAGTTTGCAATAATAGATCCAAGTTGACTTACAATTGCAGTAAGATCGGTGTGTGCAGGTGGAGTAGGGCAATTGTATGGTGATTGTAAAGTTGATTGTAGGGACTTAAGATCCATTGTGACTAAGATTGTTCTGTGTATTTGGACCCTGAAAACTGATTACCCAACAGAAGACATTACATGTGACACAGATCAACAGTGACTACCCAACAGAAGACAATACATGTGACACAGATCAACAGTAACTACCTGACAGTAGACATTACATGTGACACAGATCAACAGTAACTACCTGACAGTAGACATTACATGTGACACAGATCAACAGTGACTACCTGACAGTAGACATTACATGTGACACAGATCAACAGTGACTACCTGACAGTAGATATTACATGTGACACAGATCAACAGTGACTACCTGACAGTAGACATTACATGTGACACAGATCAACAGTAACTACCTGACAGTAGACATTACATGTGACACAGATCAACAGTGACTACCTGACAGTAGACATTACATGTGACACAGATCAACAGTAACTACCTGACAGTAGACAATACATGTGACACAGATCAACAGTGACTACCTGACAGTAGACAATACATGTGACACAGATCAACAGTAACTACCTGACAGAAGACAATACATGTGACACAGATCAACAGTAACTACCTGACAGTAGACAATACATGTGACACAGATCAACAGTGACTACCTGACAGTAGACATTACATGTGACACAGATCAACAGTGACTACCTGACAGAAGACAATACATGTGACACAGATCAACAGTGACTACCTGACAGTAGACAATACATGTGACACAGATCAACAGTGACTACCTGACAGTAGACAATACATGTGACACAGATCAACAGTAACTACCTGACAGTAGACATTACATGTGACACAGATCAACAGTAACTACCTGACAGTAGACAATACATGTGACACAGATCAACACTACCTGACAGTAGACAATACATGTGACACAGATCAACAGTGACTACCTGACAGTAGACATTACATGTGACACAGATCAACAGTGACTACCTGACAGTAGACATTACATGTGACACAGATCAACAGTGACTACCTGACAGTAGACAATACATGTGACACAGATCAACAGTGACTACCTGACAGTAGACAATACATGTGACACAGATCAACAGTAACTACCTGACAGTAGACAATACATGTGACACAGATCAACAGTAACTACCTGACAGTAGACAATACATGTGACACAGATCAACAGTAACTACCTGACAGTAGACAATACATGTGACACAGATCAACAGTAACTACCTGACAGTAGACAATACATGTGACACAGATCAACAGTAACTACCTGACAGTAGACAATACATGTGACACAGATCAACAGTAACTACCTGACAGTAGACAATACATGTGACACAGATCAACAGTAACTACCTGACAGTAGACATTACATGTGACACAGATCAACAGTGACTACCTGACAGTAGACATTACATGTGACACAGATCAACAGTAACTACCTGACAGTAGACATTACATGTGACACAGATCAACAGTGACTACCAGTAGTAGACAATACATGTGACACAGATCAACAGTAACTACCTGACAGTAGACAATACATGTGACACAGATCAACAGTAACTACCTGACAGTAGACAATACATGTGACACAGATCAACAGTGACTACCTGACAGTAGACAATACATGTGACACAGATCAACAGTAACTACCTGACAGTAGACAATACATGTGACACAGATCAACAGTAACTACCTGACAGTAGACAATACATGTGACACAGATCAACAGTAACTACCTGACAGTAGACAATACATGTGACACAGATCAACAGTGACTACCTGACAGAAGACAATACATGTGACACAGATCAACAGTAACTACCTGACAGTAGACATTACATGTGACACAGATCAACAGTGACTACCCAACAGAAGACAATACATGTGACACAGATCAACAGTAACTACCTGACAGTAGATATTACATGTGACACAGATCAACAGTAACTACCTGACAGTAGACAATACATGTGACACAGATCAACAGTAACTACCTGACAGTAGACAATACATGTGACACAGATCAACAGTAACTACCTGACAGTAGACAATACATGTGACACAGATCAACAGTAACTACCTGACAGTAGACAATACATGTGACACAGATCAACAGTGACTACCTGACAGTAGACATTACATGTGACACAGATCAACAGTAACTACCTGACAGTAGACAATACATGTGACAAAGATCAACAGTAACTACCTGACAGTAGACATTACATGTGACACAGATCAACAGTAACTACCTGACAGTAGACGGGACTTGTGACACAGCTGAACATTTCACGCATTTTTGAGACATCCACAAAGTCCCACGGCAAGTTGTCAATGAGGAGACAACGAGACTGTAGCTTGCTCCATGTTTGCAGATTTTCCTCTATGAAGTCCACATGTAACTTTCTATCTCCCAATTCACTCCAGTCCAACTCAGCCATGATGTCTCTGGTTCGCTCTTCACTCTCCTCAAACTCAACAAAGCCATATGACTTGCTTTTACCTGTAAAAGAATAACAGTCAAAGAATAAAATGAGATGAAACAATGTTAAATTTAGTAGAAGAGCTATCAAAGCTGAATAATTATGTGAAGTACAATACTTTATCCTAGAACAAGGCCACTTGGAGCAGTATATCAGTCGCAGTTTACCATGTAGGGATTATGTGACTCAAGTCACACACTATTTTCACTGTACTGAAACCAATGAACACAGGTATGTCCCGACAAACCAAGCGTCTGGACAAATCTTGAATTCACTCACAGTAGGGGAGTAGAATCAGCCATTCAGTGACGAAACCCAGTAACTACCCATACTGAAAATCTTACCTTGCAAATACAATACATTATAATTTATTGTGAAAGGGAATTATTGAAAGTCCAAATAAAAACTTTGATTTTGACCAACTGTTTAAGCAGCATATCTTTTTTTTTGACAAAACAAAACAAAATTAACTTCCAGATTTTCAGTAGTATTTTGTCAACTGGCCATACATAACTCTGAATATGCATCAGTATTTGAAGAAATGTTTTCTAAATTTGTGAGTCATGAAAATGTTTTGAAATAAAATAATTCCATTATTAATTCTAAATACAGCACTGACTGTGAAAGTATATTTTATGATATTGTTCTCTATTGTAAGCAGTCTGATGCAGAGCATGTTTCCTTATCTATATTAACTAATCAATTCAATCAAGGTCCACATATTTGAAAACAAGATTGCATCAGCCATGACTTACTTGGGAATATTTCACGAAAGTGTCGAATCAAATATGCAGGAATTATGTGCCATGTAAGTCCCTGAGTTACTAACCAATCCAAATGCAGATAGTGTATTCCCACCAAAAACATACTCCACACATACACAAGGTTCTGCCATACTTCCTATTGATTATTTCACTTCCTGTTGATGATATCCTTTGCAATCAGGATGACAACACTTTTGTAACTGATAACATAACAAAGCTTGACAACTATCAACCATGTAATCATCTCAAGATCTGTACTGTGCCTCCAACTGTTAACACAGATCTGTTCATCCTGGCATACATTGTGATCAATGTTATGGTACCTCATCTATTTCTCCTGAGAAAGGAGGATAAGATTCAGATAAACTATACCCTGGGCAGGCCCCAATGTCCCCAGAGAATATAATCCTTCCAGACCATGGCAGTGTAATGTGAACGCCATTGGCAGCTAGAAATGATCTGTTCTATAGAAACTGTATTCCAAGAATCTACGTTTGTAGTTAACTCATGTATTTTGGGAGCTCTACTGTTGTCATGGCAAAGTGTAGATAGTTGATTCGTTTGCTAGCTGTTAAGGTTGTCTTTCGCCATGCTGCTACCACAGGCTAGATATATCTTTGAATTATTCTTTCAACAAGGAGTCATTTTCTGAGCTGTTTTAGCCCTTCAGAGGCTGCAAGATTGAATTTCAAGGTTCATTTTGGACATAGCAACCTGTCCAGTCCGTCCACAACTTTGTTCCAAGCCTGTATGGAGTACATTATGTGACCTAGGGGTCTGGGTAGTCCTAAGATATGTCATAATTGGGATTACACTTTCTGGCTAGTCCTGACTGTTTTTGGGCTTCACATTCAGGCAGAGATCTGAGATTTTGATCAGGAGCCTGTAAGGAGCAATCAACTTGTAGTGTTGGGAATTGGTTGAAATCTCACAATTGATGATTGTTTCATTACCAACAAACAATCATCGACAAAAATTGGTTAGCATCATTTTTCAGATTTTCCTATCCAGGTTGTTATTGCTGATATGTATAACAAGATGCAACTTGCTACTTTAAAGTGATGACTAATATATATCATGAACATAAACTTCCTGGAGTCTTAGAGAAATATTCAGTCATGACTTTTCAGTTAGTGAAGTGAGTTTTCTAAGAATTAAATGTAATTTTTTTTATTAAATATGATGTTTTATACTTATCCTGCAGTGTTCGCGAATAGTGTCTGACCCTCTGACAAATCTGGCAGATTCAGCCAACGGTCCGATAGAAGTCTACAACCCACCGGCCCCAGTGTCCGACTGTATATTTCACAATGACTTTGACTGAAGTTGTTATATGTGACATGTGACACTTGTTTGCTGTTTATTTTATCTTAATTTTTCTTATGTTTGTTAATAATTTCAATGCCAATTATTAGAAATGTTAAATCTGAAATGTGTGTTTAATTTTATTCCATGGGTCCTGTGAATTTTCAATGGGTCAGACAGACATCTTAAACTTACAGGACCCAATATCTTGTTACTTTGAAACACCATTCGTGAACACTGATCCTGATGCATGGTTAATTGCTTGTCTCCTTCTTGCGAATGATAGTGGAAAACTTGAATCCCCTTTTGAAGCTCCCTTCAAAAAAGCTGACGTAAAATCATTCACCCAGTGTTATCTCCCTTTAGATGTTTTGGCGGGAAAATCCGTCACATGACCCAACATGCTCTTCACTCTACTCGAAATATACGCCCGACACCTGGCTTACAGGGAATCCAGAGTGCCATGAGGGGAGGTTGGGAGGGCTTACCTCATGAGTCAGGATAAGTATAAAATATCAATTTTATTTTAAAAAATTACATATTTTCCTTATCCTGACTCATGCTTAATTGCTTGTAGAATCCAACGGAACCGGTGGTGGGTCGAGCCACTCATTGCTGATTTACGTCCTGCATACCCCCCTGAGGGAACTTCTTATAGTACTATGCTGATCCTTTCTTCCAGCTTCCTCTGATGAGTTTGGGGGGACCACAACTCGTCAGATTTCTCTGGCACCGCTTCTCCTGACATTAAGTGTGGATTTATACGACTCCATGGAGAAGCGACCCTTCTTCATATACGAGTAAGTCCTTACAAGTATAGGGTCTGCCACTCATTCTGGCCTGTCCTAGACGTGCGCATGGACTCTAAGCTCTAGCTCTTCTGAGCGTTGGCTTTTACAAGTCACAGATAAAAGGGTGAGATTCATCTCAGCGCCTTTGAGGAACCGCCAATTGTTGTGCTACAACAAGAGGCCCAAACTGGTGAATGCCGGAGACGTCCTCGGTAGCAATGTCTCTTGAGGTAGTGGTGGGCAAACACCGGCAAGCCCTCCATTATTGTCGAGATGGAGCAGTTTCCATGTAGAGCGAGTGTCGATGCCAGCGCTCTGACTTCATGAGGAATGGAGGCTCGTGGAGGTTCAAGTCCTGCTGCTTTGTAGACCCTTAGGATGATGGCTCTCATCCATATCGATATCGTCGTACATACGTGAGATCTCTGTAGGCGTCTCCGTAGATAGAGGGATGAAAAGGCGCTTGAATTTTCGTCTCCTTGTCTTAGACCTTTGTAGGTAGACTTTCAATGCTCTGACTGGGCACAAGGATAGATCCTGAGTATCCTGTGGCCCAAGGACTGCCGAGAGTGCTGGGATGTGGAATTGTCTGTCTGGTTGACCGGGCATTTGGTTCTTTGCTATGAAGTCCCATCTCAATCCCAGATGTATGATGTTGCGATGTGCATCAAATCGTATTCGTTCAAAGTCCAGAGCATGTATTTCCGACATCCGAGATGCTGTTGCCAAGGCGACCAGGAACAGAGTTTTATGTGTTAGAAACTCATAGGATGTCCTTTCTAGTGGTTCGTGATCGTCACTGGTGAGATGCTGCAAGACTACGTTGAGATCCCAAGCTGGCACTTTAAATTTCCTTTGTTGGTCTTCCAACTTAAAGGAGCGTAGTAGAGCCAGTATCTCTGGTACTTTGGTCAGCTTTACACCCGTCTTCATGGTGATAACCGTGCTGAGGGCCGCTAGGTATGTAGAGAGTGTTGAACCTTTTAACCGCCTCGTTTGTCTTAGATGACAAAGGTATTCCGCCACTTGAGGATGTGTTGCTTTCATCGCCGTGAAGCCCTTCCTCAATGCATATTTCTCAAAACTCTGCCACTTGTCGTCGTTCAAGCTGCGGGTTGATCTACGTAGAGCTAGAGTGACTGCGTTGGCTGCTCTGGCGGAATATCCTCTTTTCTTCAAGCAAGTTTTGATACGTTCCATGCGTGTAGTTGGAATACTGTTGGATTTCCATGTACATGCTTGGTGTGCGGATGAATTAGTAGGTTCGGCCACTCTGGGAGTTGCAAGGTTGGACTTCCGAGTTCTTGTATGAGGATGGGAAACCACACCCTCGCTGGCCAGTAGGGCACGACCAAAATCAGTTGCAGCTTCTTTGTCTGCTTGATTTTCTGCAACACCTGCGGTATTAGAGCTGGATGTGGAAACGCGTAAGCATTTAGTCCTTCCCAGGACATGCTTAGAGCATCAGTTGCCATGCTTAAGGATCCAGAACCGGAGAGATGAATGTTGGTAGTTGTTTGTTGAACCTTGTAGCAAACAGGTCTATCAGCGGAGATCCTATCCTCTGTATGATGCATCTGAATGCTTCTGGATGTAACATCCATTCCGTCGGGGATGATTGTGTTGGACGAGATAGGGCGTCTGCTATCACATTCTTGGCTCCGGGAATGTGACATGCTTTTAAGTCGACGTTCAGGTTGTCTATTATGCTGAACAAATGAAAGCTGAGGTCTAGAAGATTCCTTGACCTTGTTGATCCTTGTTTGTTGATGTAGAACGCCACTGTGGAGTTGTCTGTATGGATCATCAGTTGTGCGTTCCTTAGTATGCTGGACCAGTGTAGTAAGGCGTTTATTACTGCTTTCATCTCGAGCATGTTGATGTGCAGACTTTGCTCCTGACTCGACCATTTCCCTGCTGCCACTCCATTGTCGAGGTGGGCTCCCCATCCTTGAAGTGATGCATCTACGTAGAGATGAGTGTTGTACTCCGGCTCTGATAAGTAGATTCCTCCGCAAACATTTGACTTCCGAGTCCACCATAGGAGATATGGTTTCAGTCCGTCCGGTAGTCCGAAGTATACCGGACTGTCTAAATGAGCGATCACGAATACTTGTAGTGGGCACAGTTGTAGCCTTCCTCTGCGTGTCATGTCTTGTG